CTGACACTGCAGGAGAGGGACACGTATCCAGTATGGTGTATGAATGTGTGTGTGGATGGTGGATTGGTTCAAAGAAGCATTTTGAGAGTCTGGAATAGAGTGGAATATAAAAGTGACCATTAAACATTCTACAGTTGACACACTCATAAAAACAGCAGCATGTGGAGGAGATGTGTAAAAAGAAATGCAGAAAAACTTGTGAAATATGTATGAAACACAATGGCTCTGGGCTGTATTGACGGGCTGGTATGGCTCACTTATGATGACCAATGCTCTCAACTATTGTCCCTCCAGCGCGAGTGTCCTGAGCTCCATTTCTATGTAATCACAGAAACTCACAAAATGTCATTTAAAGACCCATTTTTAGAAATTGTATCCATGATCTTGTCCTTTCAGTTCATTGCCCCGCGTAGTGTCTTCACTGTGAACAAGACCTGAGATAATTGACCTCCACCACTTGGGGAAGGATGTCTCCACCTGCAGAGCTTAGGATTTGGAGGTGCTGATTTTTAGAAGTATAACTGAGACAGATTACAACTTACTGCCAGTGATGAAAAACACATCTCCAGCTCGGCCCTTACAGAGACCGGACAGCTCTCAAAGGATCTCCAGCCTGTTTTCAGAAGCAGACTCAACGCAGAAATATATGTTTATCCTTGATGGACATACACTCTATAAACAGATGTACTGGTTTCCCCATACAACAAAAATTGTTTATCTTCACTATTTAATTACTTATTAATGATTGGAATGCCTTATATATTTTCATTTTTTGTCTTGTTTTGTTAATAACGCTGAGTTGCCTGGTGTATCAACTGCGCTATACAATTATACTTGCCTGGTGATGTGTCTGCCTTTTTGTTCAAATAACCGTTTTAATGGTTTTGTTTTCAATCAATCTGTATTTGCCAAAGCGATGCAAAGAACTATGCCAACCAATTCGCGCCAATCCTTTACTCACACACACCAGACTCAAACCAGGTAAAGTGGATGTAGTGCAGAAGTGTCCAAACTGGTCCAGAAAGGGCCGCTGTGGCTGCAGGTTTTCTATCAGACCCAACAGGAGCAGCGCAGACTCCACCCATTTCATCAAGTGAGCTCAGTCTTAACCTGAAGATTTGAGAAAATGGGCGGTCTGATATAAAACCTGCAGCCACAGCGGTCTCCCATCACAGCACTAATAAGGCCCTGTCCTGCAGTTTAAAAACAAATTATATTGGTAATGTTTCCAACCAATGTGTTGTTAGAGTGTCCTCCCCCTGTGGGTCCAGTTTCAAAAGGCATCCTAATAATAAAAATGTTAGAAAAATAATGCAGCAATCTTTTACATTTGTGCTAAAACATGCTTCTAATGCCTTTATCATGGTTCAACATACATTAAACTTGTTTCTATCTACAAAAAGGCAGCAATTTGAATCGTTGATCTATAAAGCTGCATATGACAGAAACTGTCTTGTCAAATTTGGCATACAATATCTTCAATACACATTTGATATTGTGTAAACATATTGTGAAGGTTTGACTTGGTAACACAAAACACACCTAGGAAAAGTACATTCAAACAAAATAAACAATAATATAAGTTACATTAAAGGTTTAGTTGCTCACACCATTGATACTGTAATACTGCAATTGTTGTCTAGCACTTACAAGTCATCTCTTTGAATGAAAACCTGATGCTTCTGTAATGATTCAATAATACTAATGGTTCTTCTCTCCAATCATCACATCAGGGAAAACCTTGACGATCGTCCTGTTTCCACCACAGCTCCGTGCCCTACACCTGTGATGATTGTTCTCTGTTTACCCACATCCTGGAAGCCAACGATTGTGCGTGATGAGTTTATAAAGGTGCAGGTTTTCTTAGACATTACGATGTGTACTTTGTCAACTCGTAAACCTGTCTGTGTACATTGACGCGTGTGCCCATGTGCTCGTGTGCCTAAAAGCGTGTGTAATTCATAGTGAGCCTCTTGAGAACTAACATATTGCTGCTATTGATCTTTAGGCCTGAATCAACACAGAAGCCTAGAGACTGAGGACAGCAGCAGCCCACCCAGATAACATGCACACCCCTGCAGATGTCCGGTACCACGGAGGATATAGACTGTAAAAGCCATTCGGGGGTTCCTCTCTGCTCACAGCCCACATAGACTATGATCTCTACATGCAAATCTCTCTATTATCTGGTTTTAATTATCAAACTGCATCTCGACCATTTGGTGAAGGCCTATAATACAAAAACAAACAATAAACATACAAACAAATGTGTGTTATTGGTGCTGCAACACCTTAGAAAATAAATAAAAGAAGCATTTACATTGTTAACGTGAGGAAATGCATGGTTTGTTTTCATACCATTTGTTCTGTATATATTTAGAAAGGGTTACAATACCTCATACTTTTTTTTTTTTATGTACATAATCAAGTGCCCAAAATGAATTCCTTTGATGTGTGTAGAAACTGTACCCAAGAGTTACTCAACATAAGTTATGAATGTAGTCTCTGTATGTAATGAGTAACTTCCTAAAGCAGTATATACTGTATTTACAGTATATAAACATGGCAGGGAGTCAATTCGCTTCGTACCTCTCCATTTTGAGCTGATCAATCAATAAAAATTGTTGTAAATATGTGTGTACATATCAACATGTGGTGAATGCTGTTAAGTATTGCATGTGTATATGTATGTATGTATTGTGTATATACTATATGTGCAGTGGGAGAAAATATGCAGAATGTACCTATATCTACTTGAATACATTACACATGAAATAGGAAAAACTTTCTTCACCACTAAAGGTTTTTTTCCCACAATTGTTTAATGATTTGTAATATTAGTTGGTTTTATTATTTTCAAGATTCATTCAGACGTAAAAACAGTGAAAAAAATCCGCACAGCTATGTAGCTCCCAATAAGTGTATTTTACACACCAAAAACCGTTACGTTTCGGGCTGAGGCCCTTCGTCAGACATGGCCTCAGCCCGAAATGTAACGGTTTTTGGTGTGTAAATAAAATGTACTTACATTTTTTTAATCCAGCACGCTAGCTCAAACTACAGGGATGTGCGGCCTTATTTGAAACTTTCCAACATTCAGTTAGAGTCATAATAAGTTGCGCTCATTATTATCTTGGTCCATTGATAGGGCTGGAATACGTTTTCATTTTGTTTCATAAATACATGTCGAGTCTTGTACATTACAGACCACAACATACTGCCTTTATTCTAATGGAAAATATTTAAACTTTTGTATACTGGTAGCTGATTGGTATTTTGAGATCAAGGAATGCATTTTATTACATGCCTTTCTATACAATTTTTTTTGTGGTTTCAAAATTATAACTACAAGGCTGCCATTCCTTTTTCAATGTTTTGGTTAAATACAATTACAGACGCAATTTCAAATCATCGTTTAACCGTTACGGCGCCAAAGCAGCAGATTTACTACAGCTCCTCTTTGATACAGGACACTTTCTATACATGGCTTGACTGCTCCTGACCAAGGCCCTAGTGGCAGTGCAGGATGGACAAAGTTCCCTATGTACGGTGATATATAAAGTGCACATTTACATTTAGATTTTATTCCCTCAAAAGTTTCTCTACATTTTCTCACACATTGTTTTCTTCTCCTTCTTTTATGTTAATGTTTGTAGCTGTCCTCTATCGCTTATAGTAGAACGTTTCGGGGCTTGATCTTTTGTTTGATTTAGAAATTTATGAAAAAACTCTGACGCCTAAAGTGGCTTTGTTGAACGTTTTTCCTTCCATTAAGAGAACTTGATTATTTATCTATGTCCAGAGATAGGAGACAGAATCCTAATTTCCCGTTAGCTCGGCTGTGGTACAGTACAGTAGCTGGTCCCTCTGTCCTGATGACTTTATCCGAGTGCCCCCCTTTAGAAATCAAAAGAGCATATGATTAGATTTCACGCTGTTTTTTCTTTAAACAGTCCTGATCCCACAGCGGAGGGTCAGTGATGGGCGCGTGCAAAGGCCCTCCAGCGTGTCTTAGCACAACTGCCATTAGCAGGCCCACCCCTTCTGCGTTGCCCGGCAATAAAGTCAACACGATATGTTTGGACAATGAGACACACAAATATTCCAATATTTGTCCTGGAAGCTGCTCACCTGACACACAAACACAGCGGGATGTATAAATGCACACACACACACACACACGCTCCACCAGAATACTGGCTGCTTCGACTGGACTGGGCAGTACAGGTAAGGACACTTTCACTGCGACGGTTTGGTCTTACTGAATCTGCATTTTACTAGAACTTATTATTTATGACGTTGTTAAACTGATAGAAATGTATGACAGTCATTTGTGATTAAGATTTGTGATTTTGACGAAAAAAAAATAGGGCCTCATTTATCAACCCATGCACTATGCCCTGGTTTAGTTCTGTTTGTATTTTTCTCCCATTTGAGGAGGCAATGATAACTCTTTCTTGATAAACGAAGCCCATATAGTTTAGGAAATCAACAAGAGAATTTAATTAAAATAGAATTTAATTTACTGAACAAACTACAGTAAATGCCAATTCCAGTTTGTGTCATTTTTGTTTTTTGATTTTTTTTGGCCTCATTGTCTCATTTTCAGATCAGCTTTTTCAGACAGAAAAGGGAAAAAGAGAGGACCAGCCTCACTCAGCCAATCATTTCTCAAGCCAAAGCGTCAAATAGTGTCTCTTTCTGACAAGTATAGAACAGTTAGAATGTTTTTTTATCATGATGACGGCAGCATCTTGTGGTCTGATATGTTTACAATGTGTCTTTTTTACAAAATGTATTATTTTCTAAGAAAGAAAGTTAGTTATGCACCTATTTTACTATAGAGGTATTGCTCATTTATCTTGTATTGTGTGCTCCTCATTCCTACTGTTCTGTAACCGGGCATACAAAACTATAATTTCCCCACCGTGGGAATAAAGTATCTCTTTATCTTAACCTTAAACAAAAGTAGTGATGTATGTCTTTCTTGCACAGACGTCATGGCGACAGGTGTGATCCGCAGTTTCTTGGTCCAGCCTTTGAGCTACTTCCCCCTGAGCTCCCGGCCCTCTGTCCCGGACGAGGAGCAGACACTCCACCATCCGGAGGAGAGCGACCATGAAGACGAGGAAGAACTACATGAAGAAGAGGAAGAAGAGGAATCCTTCACAGACCCCGCCCCCATGGACACCACCAATCAGCTGCTGCGATTTGCCGATCTCATCAGTCGTGACATCCAGCAATACTTCGGCCGTAGCCATGGAGACCAAGACGCCTGTGACATCTACAGCGACTCGGTCTCATTGACGACTAGCGGGCGACTGCGTTACTATGACGACCTGCTTAAAATAGCCAAAGGAGGAACAGCGGAAGAAAGACACCATGGTAGGTCAAAATACACTGGTCCAGTTTGATGATCATTTGTAAAGCTCAGTGGCCACAGATAAAGCAGAAGGTTTGATGGGAGAATCAGGAGCAGTAAATCCAATTAAAGCTGAGGTACCTAACTTTCAAACCTCAAAAGCTTGAACTATGCAATACAATCTACCCTTGCTCTAAAACAAATCTCATGCATGGTCTCTGTCACATCTTTAGATCAGCTTTGTCAGGCAGAAAAGTGAAAAAGAGAGGTACACCCTCACTCAGCTTTTAGAGTGACACACAGAGCTCTATCTGACAAGTGTGCAAAAGATAACTGGTTTCTGGAGCGATGAAGACAGCATGGCAAAGTCTGATTTATTTCATTCTTTTTGTTGGGAAATACAATGCTTTGTTTATTAAACCAAAAAGTTAGGTATCCCAGTTATCATTGAATATCCAGTTAGAGCAGTTTTTATCTCCGACCCCAGCCACAGGCGAGTTGAGTTTGTCTGAGAGCAGCTGTTCCAAAAGTTCTCAGCACTGAGGCCTCCCTGAGCAAGCAAAAGTTCAAATCAATTTTATTTGTATTGCCCTAAATAACAAAACAACAGTCGTCTCGAGGGGCGTCACAGAACCGCCAACTCCCAACAGCTGGGGACCAATCCTCAGGTCCAGGAAGTCCAGGGTTTAGAGTCCCACCAGTGCGTTCATGGAACACACAGAGGGACAACGGGTGGACAGCACTTTAGTTTAAGTCATTTAGGCATCAAGCCAAATTAACTGTGAAAATGAGGTCTGTTCATCCTGCAACCCGTAGATGTGACGATTAAAAACAGATTAAAATGGACAGTTGGAAAAAATGAAATAGATAATGGTTAGGAGTCTGATGCATGGAGTGAAAGAATAATGACATGTGAAGCATCTTTGAGTGTCCAAAAAGGCGCTTTATAAAATGGATGCATTAAAAAACAGTGCATACTATATTCTGAAAAAAAAGTTTTCATTTGATATACAAAAAACAAAATCAATAATTGTTTATTTGATTTGACATATGCACATGATGAAGTGTTGACAATAACATTCAATTCTTCATCTGTTTAGCTTTCATCACATGTTTCTATTTGTTCAACTAAATGAACAACGACAGAGCTGTATTTTTTTTAAAAACCTGTCTTTTCTCTAAGTAGGTAGAGGAGTGAATGCAGCGGAGAGACAGAGGTACAAGTCCTGTGAAGACGGCCGGATTGTCACCTCTGCCGCCGGGAGCTGCAGCAGTCTGGGACCTCTGGCAGAACTGTTCGACCAGACGGGTGCGAGCCAGGGCCGCCCCATGACCAAGAGACTGCTGCCACTGAGCTTCTGGACCGAGCCGAGCTCCGGAATGAGCTGCGGCAGTGACAAGCCCCCCCCAGAGGGACCGCTGTTCCCTCACACGCACTTAGAGGAGGCGCAGATGGACTTCAGTGACCTGTTGGCATTCTGGGACACCCACCCGGAGCCCCCCCAGCCTCTGACCGACCACGACACCAGCATGCAGCACTGAACTCATCTTGTGCTTGAAGCTTAACAAACCAAGGCCTTTCTTTTGGACGTTACATTACAAAGCCCTTTTGTAATGTAACATCCTTGAGCTTGGAGAGATCTGGGGAGCCACCATATGTGCAGTTCATCCGGGTCCAAGAAGATACAGAAACTAGAGGCTTTTTGCTGGAAAAAATGGGCAGCGTTACCATCAGAGAGTTGAAAGAACCTTATCCACAACTACAACAAAGGACTCCAAGCTGCCGTTAATGTGTCAGTCACTTTTTAATTATGAGGAGAATTAAACTTTTTGAAGACAAGCACTGGTTAGACCCGCACATGTTCACCTTCCTGATAGGACAACATTATTTCAAATTGTTGAGGCCCCTCGCTATTGGTTCAACTGTTCTCCTCCAAACGAATCTTGCTGGTGGTTGTTATGCTAACGATAGAGACTGAATATTATTATACAAAAATGTTATTATTGAAAATGACTGAACATATTAGATTACACTGTACCCTTCGCTAGAAAAAACGGTCACTTAAAAAAAAAAACACTTACAGTTGCTGACATCGTCTTTAAAGGGGCAATACCTGCAATTGAGAACTGGGGGATGCAAATTTATAATCAGGGTCAGAAGAATAGTTCATGTTGTCTTTATAAGTCAAAAATCAAAAACATTTGACAATAAATGGCTTCACACAACCACTAACAATTAAGTGTGGTATCATCCATAATAAATATCTATATTTCTGCCTGGGTGTGTGAACCGAGAACAACTGTACACTCAATAAACCGCTCCAGCTATGCTTTCATTAAGAAGGTCAACACTGCAAATCAATGTTACAAATATAACTCTGTTTAGATAGACGTGATGCACACAATAGAAAGAGTCATTGTTCGGTATTTATTTATTCTTGTATATGATTTTTTTTTTTTTTTCAGTCCAAAGCAAGGGGTTAAAATGGGACTTATCTTTTTATGATGTCCGTGATGTACACAGGCCTCAGCAGCAGTTGGTTTATCAGCTCTGTAAACGCATTAATGCTACACCACTGGACTGTGACTTCATCGCTGCTTTTGTACAAACTGTTTAACTGCATTCTCAAACATTAAAGTTGTGTAAATATTGAGGTTTTTTGTGGGTTTTTGTAAACACCGAGAGCTGTGGTCGATTTAGCCCTAAATTGGTATTGCATTGTTAAGGATTTCTTTTAAGCTGTACATTTCCAAATCTTTTTCCTAACTTCTGGGTTCATGTGAGCGCAGACCAACATGGAACAATGACCAGTTTATAAATATAAATTATTCAATCCATCTTTATTTGTAGAGCGCTTTTCATACACAGAGTTCTACAAAGTGCTTCACAGATCATGAAAAACAGGAAAATAAATCACACAAGGTATTAGGGTCAGGGTTAGAGTATACTCACAGTACATTAAAAAGAGTGAGATGCAATCCTCCAGTTGTATTCACAGCTAAACAGAATTGTTTTACCCTGGATTTGAACATGGTCAGAGTAGAAGCCTCTCACATTTTAAAGAAGACTGTTCCAGGTTTTACATGTCACTTATGTACAAAGTGAGGCTATGAAGAGACTTGTACACAAGCTGAGCTGCTTTAAAATCTTTTCTCTGACCCACATTGTGTACATTGTGTACATATTTGTTTTTGGCCATTAAAAAAGAAAAGTAGACTTTTCAATGCATGTTTTACTTCTTCCCAATACAAAAAAATGACCCACCCACAATACTTTTAATTCGTACATAAGAGCGTGATGTCACCATGGTACAATGCTTATTGGACTGAGACAGAAGTGCCTTGGATCTATTTCTTCCCTGCACTGTTTTATAATAGAAAACACAAAACACACTGATAAAGGGAAGATAGTTTGAAAACAAATACTTGGATGAATGCTGTGTTAATATTTCCTCAGTATCACAAAAGCATGATTCTGCTGCCTCAGTCATCAATAGCCTCTTATTTGCAGAGTTTGGATATCATACATGTGTATACATTATCAGGAGGGTGTGACTTAAGCACAAAATCTGTTTGCTGTAAGTCAATAGAGACATGTCAGAGGCTAACATGGACAAAAACACCCTCCTTCCATTTGTCTCCCCTATTTTCTTTTTCCATAACCTCAACATTTTCATTAGAAGTAGTAATAAAAACTTCAATCTCACACAAATCTGGAGCTTTACCCTTTCAAATAAAAACTAAGAAGGATAAGGAAGGAGGTATATTTCATTGAATTTGGATGCCGTCCAACAGTAAAATCCAGTTACACACAAACTGAAACATATGCAAAACATAAACAATATCTGCTTAGTAACCGGCTTGACAGAAAACAAGAGCAACGTGTGATTATTTGAGAACGACCAGGCACCGTCGGATTGGTTGAGAACTTCAGTTATCCCCTCGAGGCGTCGCTGCTGATTGGCTGGAGGAGGAGGGCCAGTGAGATTTTGACACACACTCTGGACGTGGGATACATAAAGTTGTGTAGTGACTTAGTCCACGTGTATTTGCAGGTCTAGAGGTGGGAGAGACATGAGGATATCCACGCTGCTGACCGCCGCTCTGCTGGGACTGCTCCTCTGGGCCTCCTGCACCCAGGCTGAGGAGGAGGCATCCAAGGAGGCTGCTGAGGAGGCTGCTGATGAGGCTTCTGATGAGGAGTTAGAAGAAGAGGAGAAACCCAAGAAACCCAAAACTACAGAGATTGAAGAAGAGAATGAAGTAATGGTTTTGCATATTCACAACTTTGCGAGGGCGCTGAGTGAAAACAAGTACCTGCTGGTGGAATTCTGTGAGTATGACCCGAAAAGGAAAATATCATTATGTTAGTAAAATAAACATAAAATAGTGTAAAACATATTGTAAGAGTGAAAAGATGCTCTAGACTCCTCAAAGGTTGGCAAGGAGAAGGACATTTATTTGTATTTGTAAGCATTTTATTGGAAATATTAAAGACAAACATAAAAACATAAAAGTCCAGTTATTTTTGAAAGAAGAGCACATATACAAATGTTTGATAACTAAACATGGAATGTGAGACACGTGATGCTGTCTCACGTTTTCTGGAAGACTGTTTCCAATTCTATAAATGTTATAAATAGGACACAGCTTTTTGTGAGTGTAATTCAATGTCATGTTATACAGATTTTTGCAAGAACATAAAACATATGTTTGAAAATGCAAACAAACATTTGCTTTGTATGTTTTACTTGTAACAGTGTAATATTACCTCTTCCAGTGATGCCTCTGCTATCATGTATCACATCAGCTTCTGCTCTGATCTGACTTGTGACAGGCTGCTGTGCGCCTGTGAAGTGATGTGTGAGTCATTCCAAGTAATGCTCCATGTAAATCCCGCTCTGACACACATGCAAACCCTCCTGTTGAACTTGTATGAGATAAAAGTTGTTGCAGGTGTCCTGGTGCTTTCCTGTCCCACAGATCACACATTGCCATGGCGACTGTCACTGAGATATGAACAGCTCATTTACATTTAACCCCAAACCCCGCCCTCGCTATAGTAATGATTATTGTGAGGATTAACTGATTATTCACTTTATTGAAATTTATAGATATGAAACTTTCAGTTTCCGCCATGTCCCAAATACATGTTCTGAAGGATAAATGAAAGTCAATGAGAAATAGAAAGATGACAACCCAAACATATGTATAAGACAGTTCATTCAAAACTAACTGAAATGAAAATTAAATAATGGGTATCATATTCTTGAATGGCCTGTTGTAAATTTGGCCATACATTTAATATATATATAATTAATGGAATAGAAACAGTGAGATGACAGCACAATCATATTAAGAAGTTAACGGCTTGAAAAATATCTGGATTTGGGTATCATTCTCTAAAAGGCTGTAAACAAGTGATTATATGTCAAGAAATGTCTCAATTTAACACAAATATTTATATATATAATTTGTAATATTGTGCAGGGAAAGCATTTGAGGAACAATATAGTGAAATGTCAGTTACAATTCTTCAAACCCACAACTCGAAACATTCTCACACACACACACACACACGCTCAGACAAGACCGGACCAAACACTCTCTGACCCCACACCTCTCTTACATCACTTGTAACGCCTGCCTCCCCTTAAACTGTAACCATTGTGAGCATCCCCATTTGTTGATCTCTGATTTCAATACCAGTGTGTGTTTCTCAGACGCTCCGTGGTGTGGACACTGTAAGCGACTAGAGCCTGCATACGCAGAGGCGGCAGCCCGACTGAAGCAGGAGGAGGGAGGTCTGCGTTTGGCCAAAGTGGACGCCATCGAGGAGAAGGAGCTGGGTCAGGAGTTCGACGTGGGAGGGTACCCCACCATCAAGCTCTTTGTGGATGGAGATCGCACACAGGCAAAGGAATACACAGGTGTGATACAAGCTCACAATAGTTTAAAAGTACTGTTACATCATTCTTAAAAGTGACGATCATTTAAGGCTGGACCATTTAAGGCCATTCATTCATTTCAACACCTTTATTAGTCCATTACTGTGTTGGGGGGTGGCAATGAGAGTTGCACCCAATATTCATAGCAACAGTCCCACGCTGATGCTCTGCAGGTGGTGGGTCCAGGGGAAGATGGCTGCTCCGTCAATGGTGACACAGCCTTGGTCTTTTAGCGGGGGCTTTGTTGGAGCAGTTGGAGTTGGTCTCGTGGGAGGATCGAACCCACAATCTTCAGGCCCAAAGGCAAATGCTCTACCTACTGAGCTACTGTCACCGTGCGAGTCTTGCAACATTTTGTGACCAAATCTGAAAGTCTTATGATATCATTCTTTTAAGAGTTGATTGGCTGAAGGAAAGTGGTCCTCTATTTTTCACATTTCTGTGTGAAAAAGTTGATCTTAAGATACATGCATATGAAAACCATAGTTATTAAACCAAACTGTTCTAGAACGAGGAACAAGTTCTATAAATGTTATCCTTCATTTTCAAAGTTGCTGAGAAGCAAGAATACTAACCACACACCATTTAATTTCACCATTGCCCCTGCAAAAGGAAAAGCTCCTGCTGGGCTGATGGAAAGTTTGGGCACCCCTGCACAAGGGCCTTTTTATTTGTCCACACATATTATTTTGTTATCAATCAATCATATTTTTGTTTGTAGAGCACATTTAAAACAGCCCAGGCTTACCAAAGTGCTGTACAGACAAGAATAAAAGGCAACAATAAAAACACACAAAAAAGGTTATGTATTTGTGAATCATGTTGAGGCGGTAACAACTGCTGCTACAGTTTGGGGCCTTCAAAAGCCTATAACTGGCCCTGTGTCTGTCTGTGGGGCCCTGACCTAACCCTGTGTCTGCAGGGGGGCGGTCAGCACAGGGGATGGTCACTTGGATGAAGCGACAGGCGTCTGCTGGAGTCCCCGTGTTGGACTCTCCATCTACCATCACTCAGTTCATCGAGGCCCATAACGTCTCAGTGGTGGCCTTCTTTAAGGTGACTTTATAACTCCTGTTCACAGAACTGTTAATTATTATTGTATCAGGAGGCAAAATGCAAAGATTTCCAGTCAACTACAGTAAGGGCAATAAAAATGTATTGACATTTTTACACTAATTCATTTGAAATATGGTGACTGAATTGTTCCATGAAAATGTAAAGAAATAAATATCGATTACAATTAGGGTATTAATTTTTTCATTTATTATTTTTTATTATATTATTACTATTTTATTTTATTTGTATTGTTGTTGTTGACGGGTGTGTGTGTCAGGACATGGAGAGTGAAGCAGCTAAAGTGGTAGATGAGCTGTACTTCAGTAGCGCTCTGGAAATCGCCAAGACGTCCAGTGTCGAGCTCTTCCAGAAGTATGAGGTCACCACGGACTCTGTGGTGCTCTTTAAGAAGGTACACTCAACATTCAACAACATTTTCACTTTTTCAACATTGATCATCTGCCCCTTATGGACCAACGGCCCTATGTGTTTAAAAAAAAAAAATCATTTTCTGATCTGTGTTGGCAAATCGATGACTTTTAAAGTCCTCCGAGATAACTACTATATAAAAAAATAAACTTCAATATTAACGGTTATTTCTCCTCAGCCTTCTAGGTTTTCTCTATTGCTCTGGTTCACTCCCCTATAAGTCCAGGACTTCTTTGTAAAGTGAAACTCAGTGCCACAATCCTGGTTAAATATGGGTCTATAAATGCAAAACTTAGATAAAGTATTTTTGGGACGGCATGCTTGACTCTTGTGAACGTTTGTCCTTTTCAGTTTGACGAGGGCAGAGTGGACTTTCCGTTAGCAGAAGGAAAACTGGACAAGGACAATCTGACCAGCTTTATTCGAGAAAACAGCCTGGAGCTTATCATCAGTTTCAATCCAGAGGTGAAAATACACACACCCAGACGCACACGCACACACACACACACACACACACACATAAGAAAATGCATGCACACAAGCACGCGCGCACAAACACATAGATATTTTGAATAGCAAATTAAAACAGAGATATGAATATGTATTATTTTTATGTATTTGTCTTTTCTTTATGCATTTCTTTACAGAAATCTGAGGCTATTTTCGGTTCCAGCATCAAACTCCACAACCTGATGTTTGTAAACGCGAGCACAGACGCTCACATGGCTCTGGTGGAGGAGACCCGCAGTGTGGCCAAGCAGTTCAAGGGCAAGGTACCATAACTATTACTCTTCAAACACTACAGATATTTGTAAATTCAGTACTTGAATCCTTGGAGCTTGAGTTTGGGGGTCTCAAATCATTGATCTGTTTGTTGTTGTTCATAATTTACTGCAATAAAGTGAATTTATGTATGAAAGCTGAGAAAAATACCACTATTAAAGCAAAACACTACAAGTGTAGTCTGTAGTCTGTAGTTACAAAATTATTCAACATCTGTATTCACAGATTTAATACGTACAGGTGAAAAATATTAACTTCATGTATTTCAACTTGTGAAGGTAATTTACAACAGATTCATTACATCAAGCCTTTATTTGTTATAATGTTGATAGCAAGGGGAAAAAAACATATATAAAAGAGAAAATGGACTGTAGGCCACAATCGTCAAACACACAAAGACATTTTTCACTCTGCATGTAACGAGTCTATATCATTTGTTAGTTATTTCATTTTTAGTTACATTTTAATTACAGAAATGATTGAACTTCTAAACATTATTCTAATTTTTACCTGTATATACCAGACATGGACATCAAAGTGTTGAACAGAATAAGATAGAAACAAATAATCACAGTACATAACATCAAAAAGAATTAAGATATTCATCCCTCCATCTTTTCTCTTCCAGATTCTCTTTGTTTTGCTTGACATATCCGTTGAAATGCACGGTCAGATCATGGATTACTTTGGTGTGAAGGCCAGCGACACCCCAACCGTCCGTATGTTTGAGATGACCAGCCAGAAGAAGTACAGCCTGTCCCCCGAGCCCTTCAGCGCGGGGGCCGTTGCGGCGCTCTGTCAGGGCGTGCTGGACGGGACCGCTCAGGTCACTCGCTCTTTCAACACCACACTGTGTCAGGGGGATGCAGGAACTAGTGTGGGGAAAAATCCATCAACCTAAGAATGTGATGTTAAAAGTTGTTTGATTTGGTTTATACTCTATATATAGTAATAATAATAATAATGCATCCGTTTCATAAAGTGCTTTTTGGAAACAATTTGTATTTATAGAGCCCTTTACAACACACAACTTATGGCATTATTCTTTCACTCCATACACTGCTGTGGTAAACTACTATTGTAGCCACAGCTGGTTTTGTGCCAAAGGAAAACAATTGGAAAAAACATCTTGAAACAAGTAAAAAGATCCATTAAATGAAACTAAAACGATCAAAAGTAACATGTCAGAGTTTGATCTCAAAACTTCTACATCAGTCATTTAATATTAGACTTTAATTTTAGTTAAATATAGTCATTGTAATTACATCAATTATTGCTACAAAGAGTCTGTGGAATGTTTTTGGACCAAAAAAGAGTTAATGGATTCAAGCTGTTTGACACCAGGACTACAAATAAGTTTTCTTTATCTTTATTGAGTGAGCATGGCATTAGGGTTGTACAGTTATTCATAATCTAATAAAAAGTCACAGTTTTAGTGTCTGCAAATGGCAAAGATTGCAATTATTCTCTTTAGAAAAAAACAATTATTTTCAAACATCTGGATTCTGTTGTTCTGTTGTAATGCTTTATAACATTAGAAATATCAAGATCACAGCAAATTTCAGAAATGTTTCTTAATGTCTCTTAGTTTAGTTTAGTTTATTTATTTGTTTGAGCAGTTAACCTGCTCAAAGGGAGTGGGCTGAAGCCAAAGGCTTTTAAGCGCCCACCCCAAAATAAAAATAATAACATTACATTTCATATTTACAAGGTAGCAAATCATAAACAAAGGAACATAGGGCAAAGTAACAATAAATGATGAACCAGAACAAAATAAAAAAAACAGCAAAATAAAGAACAAAAGAATATGCTACTTTTATAAAGGTGCAATAATACATATTATACTCTGAGATCTTGCTACTTCCCAGTTGTCATTACCATCCTTAATATAATGTAATTTGGGTTTAATTATCATTATTATTATATTTGTTTAATTGAGTTATATGTGAAGTATGATGTAAGCCCTGCATAGTGTGGTGCATTAAAAAGCCAGGTGTAGAACGGGCCAGTTGAAGAGGGCAGTAACTCCCCCTCAACAAACCCCCCACCCAGCTGCCCTAACAGCTGATTTTGTAGATGATGTTCCTATGCTGAGTGGTGCATTAAAAGACAAGGTTTTGAGCCCGTTGGGAGGGTCCCTCTCAACAGATTCATAACTTGCCAACCCTAATTCTCAATTTGTAAATTTACGCAATAGAATGACAACCGTTCCAAGCAGCAACACTCTTCCTTGATTATAGAGGAAACACACATAATTGATCCTACTGCTCACCCTAGTGGCAACACATTTCTTGTTCTCTGTATATTTCAAAAGTCTTTTGTTTGTATTTATATTTGAACAGGTTGATATTTGGACTTCGTTTTAACTCCATTAAAGGAAGTTTATTCCACAATTGTACACCATTAACTGTTGGGCTAAAACTTTTCAAAGTTGAGCTATGTTTCTGAGTCCTAAAGTTTAATTCATCACGTAATTCATAACAACCAGTACGTTCTTGGAACCTTCTTTGTATTTGGCCCGGTAACAGATTGTACCTTGCTTTGTATAACATCTGTACAGTTTGGAACTCAACAATGTCACAAAACTTCATGATCTTTGATTTTAAAAATAATGAGTTTGTGTGGTCCAAAAACCCAACTTTATGAATTACTCGGATAGCTCTTTTTTGCAACAAAACTATTGGTTTTAATGTGTTTTTATAAGTACTACCCCACAGTACAATAATATAAATATGGCAAAATCAGAGAACAGTATAAGATATGTAGAGCTTTGATGTTTAAAATGTGCTTTGCTTTTGCTATTACTGAAATGCTTCTAGAAATTTTCGTAGATATATATTTAATATGAGCTTTCCAAGTAATTCTGTCATCTATAATCACACCAAGGAATTCGATTTCATGCACTAGCTCTATGACAACACCCTCGATCTGAATTGCTTCCTGAGCATTGGAATTACGGTTGCCAAATATCATTATTTTACTTTTACTCAGATTTAGAGATAATTTATTTTGTTTAAACCACTTATTGACACTTTTGAGTTCCAAGTTAACAATCCGACACAGTTGCTGTAAGTCGTCACCTGATGCAAAAATATTTGTATCGTCTGCAAACAAGATAAATTTAAGTACTTGAGACGTTTTACAAATGTCGTTAATGTACATATTAAACAATTTTGGGCCCAGAATGGAACCTTGAGGTAAACCACACACAATTTGTCAACAACTCGACTGATGATCACCTATTTTCACACATTGTTTTCTATTTTTTAAATAACTGGTAACCCACTGTAGAGCTACCCCCCTAATCCCATAATGTTCTAGTTTATTAACCCTTATATTATGTTGAAAAAAAATGACATTGATACTGTGTAAACATACTCAAAACAGTCAAGAAAACAGGTTAAACCAATAACAACTTTATTCTAGGTTATATAAATATTTAGAAAAGTGACATACAATAAATTTTTAATTCCAACGCTCTAATCCTCTTGTCCTCCTCTCGGTTCTTTTTCTCATCCAGTTTTCCTTCTCTCTGTTCATCCTCCTCTTTTCCCTTCTTTTCTCTTCCTTCCTTCCTTTCTCCCTTCTTTCCTTCCTTCCTTCCTCCCTTCCTCTTCCTTGACCAAAGATTCGTCCTCTGAATTCTCTTTATCGTAGGAAAATTGACAATCTGGATCAGCAATAACATTGTCCTCTGTCTCTGAAAAATCCTCTGTTTCTCTTCCTCTACATCATTATCCCAGTTAAAAATCTGTGAAAAAGCCTCCTCAGATGTCATCCTTCTGGAGCTCATTTTTGGTGAGTTTGTCTAAAGCCTAGCGTACATCGACAGAGTAACTGGAGACAACTAGTTGCAAGGCGGCTTTTGGCAACTGAGAGGAGATGATGGAGATGATCAGTTGCCGAAATCGGTCGATGTGAGCGCTCTTACAACTGGAGATAAACAGTCGATCTCCGGATTCAGTCAGTTGGCCGTGTTCTACTTTTCGGCAACTAGTTGTCCTCAGGAGATATGACCCGATGTGCTCCAACAACGTGTGTGTATTGCGTGTATTGCGTGCCCTCTAAAGTTTATGTCAGAAAACACACTGTAGTTGAGGCCAGTTGCTGTTGATGTACGCGATGTTATTCCCGAGACTGGCCTGCTACTAGGAGTTGCCCGTTTTCGCCAGATTGTCGATGTGTGCGGGGCAGCAACTCATAGGCGACGGATATAACGAGTTGCCAGTCCGATATACACTAGGCAAAAGAGATGACATGAGAACACTGACAAGGACAAGTGTGAGAAAGTTCCCTCTCTTCACACACCTGGCTCTGGGTTTCAGAGGCAATCAAAATACAATGTCAAAGAGACATGTTTTTTTGGATCTGAACAACTATTCACCCACATTAAAGTGTCTGGGTCAAAATGACCCGCAACATCATCTTTGTATACAAACTCTGCACAGACATTCCACTACACATCAAAGTGTCCAGATTTTACACACCAGTTCATGACCCTAGATGAGGAAAAGGCACCAAATTTCAGCAAGAAAAAGAAAGGATAACCAGTACTTTGATCAACTCAAAAACTGAAATGGGTCAAATTGACCCTTAACATAATACAAGGGTTAAGTAGTATATCACAGTTTATTGTATCAAACGCTTTACTCAAGTCTATAAATAACCCTATTGCATATTTCTTGTTATCTACAGCATTAGTTATTTCTTCAATTATATCAAAGAGCGCGTGTGAGGTTGAGTGATTATTCCTAAAACCAAACTGATTGTCCGAGAGTAAATTACACTTTTCAATAAAGCTGTCAAGTTTAGAGTTACCTTCTCTAAGATTTTTGAGAATTGCGGTAAAAGGGAAACAGGCCTGTAGTTTGTGAAGAGATGTTAATCTCCTGCCTTGAACAGAGGAATCACTTTAGCTACTTTCATACTTTCAGGAAATTGTCCAGTTTGCAGCGACAGGTTACAGATGTATGTTAACGGCTTAGAGATACTTCCAATAACAGTTTTTAAAGTTTTCATATCCATGTCATGGTAATCTGTCGAGGTTTTATTTTTACACCCTTTATCAATGTCCAGTATCTCCTTTTCCTCCACAGGTTTGAGGAACATGGACAGAGGATTTGTGTCTATCAGTTCACAATTATAGTTCTCAACATTTGCAATTTTTGCAGCAAGATTCGGTCCAACATCTACAAAGAATTTATTAAATGTATCGACTACTTCATTCATATTATTTAAAGTGAGATCCTCATCTTTGAAATATTTTGGATAATTAATCGTTCTCGGTTTATTTCTAATTATACTATTTAAGATATTCCATAAACCTTTAATTTATTATTATTATTATTATTATTATTGCTATCTCACAACTTATTATAAGTTAAGAGACTTGTAAGTTATAAGTCTCTTAATTGGAAAAATCTTGTTTGAAGCAGTGGGATTTGAACAGTGAACCTATTTTTTTTTTTTCAATTTCCCCTCAAACATGCCCCAAATTGTCCTTGCTTCATCACAAAAATTAAATCGCAATCTGATAAAATTGTAATTTGATATTTGTTTGACCCTTTTCTCTTGTGCACAGGCGTTCTACAAGACAGAGGAGGTCCCTGAGGACTGGGACAAGGCCCCTGTCAAAGTGCTGGTGGGAAAGAACTTCAAGGCTGTGGCCCAAGACCCCACCAAGAACGTGTTTGTCAAGTTCTGTAAGTCCTCACTGTCCGGAACCATCTGTACAACACATGTGGGTCAAGATGCTTAGGAAAAGTTGTATTTAAACATGGTCCATCCATCCATCCATTTTCTTCCGCTTTATCCGTTGCCGGGTCGCGGGGGCAGCAGTCTAAGCAGAGACACCCAGACTTCCCTATCCACACACACTTCCTCCAGCTCGTCCGGGGGGACCCCAAGGCGTTCCCAGGCCAGCTGAGAGACATAGTCCCTCCAGCGTGTCCTGGGTCTTCCCCGGGGCCTCCTCCCGGTGGGACGTGCCCGGAACACCTCCCCAGGAAGGCGTCCAGGAGGCATCCTGAACAGATGCCCGAGCCACCTCAACTGGTTCCTCTCGACGTGGAGAAGCAGCGGCTCTACTCCGAGCTCCTCCCGTGTGACTGAGCTCCTCACCCTATCTCTAAGGGAGCGTCCAGCCACTCTGCGGAGGAAGCTCATTTCGACCGCTTGTATCCGCGATCTCGTTCTTTCGGTCATTACCCAAAGCTCATGACCATAGGTGAGGGAGGGAACGAAGATTGACCGGTAAATCGAGAGCTTTGCCTTTCGGCTCAGCTCCCTCTTTACCACAACGGTCCGATACAGAGACCGCATCACTGCGCACGCTGCACCGATCCGCCTGTCAATCTCACGCTCCATCCTCCCCTCACTCGTGAACAAGACCCCGAGATACTTGAACTCCTCCACTTGAGGAAGGACCTCTCCACCCACCTGAAGAGGGCAAGGCACCTTTTTCCGGTCGAGCACCATGGCCTCGGATTTGGAGGTGCTGATTCTCATCCCAGCCGCTTCACACTCGGCTGCAAACCCTCCCAGTGTATGTTGCAGGTCCTGGTTCGTTGGAGCCAGCAGGACGACATCATCCGCAAAAAGTAGAGATGAAATCCTGTGGTTCCCGAACCGGACCCCCTCCGGCCCCTGGCTGTGTGGGAAAGTGAACTTTTAAAAAGGACTTTTAACTGCTTTTATTTTTGTGATGTGTTTTGTGTGTTTTTATATTTTTAATGCATGGATTTTAATCAGTTCCTTGGACACTTCCCCTAATCACCCACACCTGCTTTTAATCAAGACCTTTTAATTGGGGGCGGGCACTGCAGGACAAGGGAAGAGAGAGACACAGAGAGAGGGGGAACGGAGGACCAGAGGAGGAGGACGCGGGACCGGGCCAAGGACGAGGACGAGCACCGCCAGCCAGAGACCACGGTGCACTGAGGCCAGCGGGGGGAGCGGCACCGGTAAGGGGGGCGCGCATTGACAGCGCATGAAGGCGCGTGCGCGCCCGGGCTAGGCCCAACGACGACCGGGATGTGCCGGCTCTCCCCCGCGGGTGCCCGGTGCCGACCCGTGGTTGGCTAGTGGCTGGCGGAACTGCGGCCCGGTCCCGGGTGAGAAGAGCGGAGGACAGTGGGGACGGACTCTGGGCTTTTAATCATCTTTTATGGATCCCTTTTGTAAATATTTTATTAAATTTTATCCCCTTTTTATCCAGTTTCCCTTTTTATGATCACACCCCCTCAACAGATACTTTTAAACCTGTGACAGCTGCGCCTAGAGATTCTGTCCATAAATACAGTGAACAGAACCGGTGACAAAGGGCAGCCTTGGCGGAGGCCAACATGCACCGGGAACAGGTCTGACTTACTGCCGGCAATGCGAACACGGCTCTGGCTCCGGTCATACAGGGACCGAACAGCCCTCAGCAGAGGACCCCGGACCCCGTACTCCCGGAGGACCCCCCAAAGGACACCCCGGGGAACACGGTCGAACGCCTTCTCCAAATCCACAAAGCACATGTGGACAGGTTGGGCGAACTCCCATGAACCCTCGAGTATCCGATGGAGAGTATAGAGCTGGTCCAGTGTTCCGCGACCGGGACGAAAACCACACTGCTCCTCCTGAATCCGAGATACATGGTGTAAGTCTAAAACTAAAACGGGAAAGGCGTATTATGGCTTCAGCTTTTAACCCTTTCATTCAAGATGAATTCAAGTTAATATCAGGAACTTCTGGCACAAACAAGTAGCTCCGCCCCTTCTGTCTAAAAGCTCTTGTGTCCGTCTTGTAATAGTATGATGTCATTGTCCCACTATGACATCACACTCAGAGCAGTTTCCCGCCTTTTAAAACAAAAGCAGTGGCACTAAACAGTTTTCTCAGGAGAGGAAGAGATGTACAGGTCTGTGTTCACAACGTCACAAATGTTGAAATTTGGAAAAAGCAAGTCAATATTCAGTTCTGTGCACAATGGCGAACAGTATACAGTTCATTTCCAAATCCAAATAATTATCTTTTATACATTTCAGAACATATACATGTAAACTTATTATATATTTTTTTGTATTTGCACGAACAGTTTAAACATTTGCAAACTATTTTTTGTTTGTTTTTGTCCATGTCACAAATATATTGGTTTGAAAATCTACTGGATGAATTGAGATGAAAAAGTATTGTAGAAAGACCACCGAGGATGATCACAATACCCCTTGGTGGGCTTATAAAGTTTGTGCACGTTCATTCATAATGTGGTTTCCTGTTTGGCAGACGCTCCGTGGTGTCATTTCTGCAAAGAGATGGCTCCAATCTGGGAGCAGCTGGGAGAGAAGTATGCTGATCATGCAGACATCATCATCGCCAAGTTCGACGCCACAGCCAACGAGGCCGAAGGGGTCCAGGTCAATGGCTTCCCCACACTCATCTACTACCCTGCAGAGGGCAAAGAGGTGGGTCAGTTTGGGCCGGAAATTATCCACTGTCTACGGATGTCCTCCAAAAGCATGACCAAGTTTCCATCTTCCAAACAAAAACACTTTAAAATGTATACTTTACGGACAAGTTAGTTCAGGGTAAAATCAAATTGACTTTCTTGAGTAATTAGTAATATATTTTATATTTTTGGTTGACAAATAAGCACTGTATCATTGCACCCTATATTCTGATTTTAATGCTTTAAGTAAAAAATCTTTAAGTATTTATTTTGTAAGAGTGGTGGTTCATTAATGACAACAAAAATATGTAACGTGTGAGCAACATTTTGAATAAACTTATTAGACCAAATTGATAATCATATTTCGTTTTACCAACCGTAATCCACAGGGCCAAGCCAAAGTAGACTTACAGTATTTATTTTTAGACAAAGACCATTGATTTTTCTAGCACTGTCTAACAAATATTATTTTGTACCACAGTCATTCGTTGAGAAAATGACTTATATTGACATTTCAATTTGTTCATTCAACATAATTATTTGATGTATTGTGGATACAAGCATGAAGTAATTTTAGATAGCACAATAGATCAGTGTCTCGACCTGAAATACAGCCCTTGTAGCGTCCAGATGAGTGTATGGTTAAAATGAAGTTTATTTTGTCCTTCCATATATTCATATAACCAACGTAAGAGCTAGAACAGAAATGAAAATCACCTTACAATCATGTCCAAATACTATCTAGCATCAAATACATTGTTAACCGTTACATTACTTTTGCTATTTGATTTTACACATTTAAAGAAACTTTACAATTGTTACACAAATAAAATCAATCCATACCTGGTGCTATCCACTCAGCCACCGTGCCTGGAGGCACGGTGGCTGAGTGGATAGCACTCTCGCCTCTCAGCAAGAAGGTCCTGGGTTCGAATCCCGGTCGGACCAGGGCCTTTCTGAGTGGAGTTTGCATGTTCTCCCCGTGTCTGCGTAGGTTTCCTCCGGGTACTCCGGTTTCCCCTACCACTAAAAATATGTCCAATAGTTCTAGCATGCGCTTCCTGTACTGGCGACTCTGCTCCCATCTCTGTGTGGAGTGAGAGACAAGTGCCCAAAATTAACAATTGTAAAACCGCTTTGAGACTCAGATCTGCAGTGAAAAGGCGGTATATAAATAAAAACTTACTTACTTACTTACTTACTTACCTTGTTCCCTCTATCTCAACTGTAGCTAAACTTGTCTTTGTCTTTTATGCCATATTAGTGCAGTTTCTTATGACCGTTTGTCTAGACCAGCTGTGTGAAACGTCCATACACTTTGTAACGTTTCTCCGTCTGATGTTGCGCAAGCCACTCGACTTCCGGTGTCAAAATAAAACATTTTCTATCAATAATAAAACATCAACCTTTACAGCCCTGTTTCAGAGTATGTGCAGTCCAAAGAATGGTTATGATTCAGGATTAGTGGATTATTGTTGCAGCCCTCATGAAATGCTTTGTCACTGACTGATGACTGATGCACTGATGGTGTTCAGCAGGTCCAGTATCACGGTGAACACACTCTGGAAAAGATGTCTGAGTTCCTGGACAATGGAGGAGTGGAGCCTGAGACACCGGAGGAGCCTGAAGACGATGAAGAAGACGAGGTTTGAATTTATCTCAAAGGAAACATACTGTATGGCATCACACTGGTAGCAGTTATCTGTCTTTTTTAATAATAATATCACATCGTACTTATATAGCGCGTTTTTGGACACTCAAAGATGCTTTACAAAAGAATAAATCAGAAACAATATGATGAACTAGAAATAAAAGGCTGTGACAGATGGGTTTTGAGCAGTGATTTGAAGTTCTGAAGTGAGTCAGAGTTCCTAATGTGTGGTGGGAGTGAGTTCCAGAGAGTGGGGGCGGCTGCAGCGAAGGCTCGGCCCCCCAAGGTTCGGTGTGTTTAGTCCTGAGGGGAGTGAGGAGCTTGGAGTCTGTGGATCTGAGATGGTCTTTGGAAGTATCTGATAAATATTTACTCTCTAAAAGACAATACTTCATGATATTTTCCTTTATTGTGTATGCATGCTAATATTTCTGAGATTTTCACCATAAGATTTTGATAAACTAATAGATTAAGCATCACATGTGAGTTTTTGGTGCAGCAAGAATCCTCAGTGTGATGTAACCTCAGGGTTAAAACAATAAACCTGAGAATAAGGTTAAAGTACATTTTATTAAGCTAATATCATATTTGTCATATCTTCGACATTTGAACTAAAAAAGGGTTAAGGTTAGGGTTAGGGTTAGGAAGAATAACCCTAAGTGTAATTCTTCCTGTGTCATGCACTTTACTCTTTGCTTTCAGGAGGACGAGGCAGAGGACGAGGCAGAGGACGAGGCAGCACCAGACTCAGCAGCCAACACCACTGTCAAAGAGGAACTGTGATGTGGGACTTTATAACTGCATCAACTTATTTAAATTGCTCAAATTGTAATATTGTTGTATGGTTCCTCTCCAAATGCAATGACTTTTAGATACATTAGATCACATTTTACACTTCAGACACAATGGAAAATGGGGCTGAGCTGCGCTGCAAAGCAAGACCCTGTTCCTTGTAACTTATAAAACAAAATAAGGTTTGTGTTGTTTCTTTGTTTAAATAAAACATGGTTTCATAAAAGTGCCTAAATTTTCTTTGTTATTATTTTCAACCACCATCAAACAAAACACATTGTTCTTGATATCATAGGGATGAACCGATAGCATTACTTTGAATGTCACTGTCTGTGCTGGTTTCTTCTAATGGACATTTCTAACCTTTGAAGAAATGAGACGACACGACTGATACAATTTCAGTTCCGGTGCATGACTTTGCATGAATTTACACCTGGAGAAAGCAGAGGTTTTGGTTTGTCTGTGATTCCAGCCACAAGATAATTCGCAGCAAGAATATGTTGCCAAAGAAAGTACCGCTGGAATAAGTGGACGTTTTGAAGTACAATACAATACAATTCAATTTATTCTTGTATAGCCCTAGGTCACAACAGAAGTCATCTCAGAGGACTTAACAAAACCATTGAAATCACCAACACAGGTCAGAGAATCAACAGTTAAAACACATGACAAATATAAAGCACACACAGAAGAAAATGTCCATACATGTTGTAGAATGCTAAAGTGTCCTGATCATCACCAATCCTTTCTGTTGGACACTAACTGTCCAACAAGACCCTCCTGCATCGACAAGGAAAAACTTTTAAAAAACCCAGTGGGAAAACTGAGAAACCTTGGGGAGAACTAGGGAAACCCAGAGGGAGGGAGACCCATTTGAGAAAGGGATCCGCTCCTCCAAATGGACAGGCTAATGATCTAGGACCTAAGCTAGCTACAGAACGTGGACCAGTGGCCGCTGAACGTGGACAGGTCCGGTGCAGGACCGAAGCACTCCCAGGCGGGTCGGGCAGGGCAGTCCGCAGGAGTAGATGGAGGAGGCCAGGCTAAGTAGTCACCCAAAAGTGAAAGAAAACAATACTTTTGGTGAAAAATGTTCCATTTAAATTTACATTTTTTGTACTGTGCTTATTCTAGTTTTTGTACAATTTTCCACTGTGAGATCAATACAGTTTTCTTATCTACAGCTACATCTGAGTGATCCATCTATATTATATAGCAGTAAATGTTCTTCATTTCTTTCCAAACAACCATGGGACTTTTTCTCTGAAGTGGTGCTGCAAGTGCGTCAGATCTAATAGTAATCTCGTTTTTCCTTCTCATTTGATCAAATCATATTTGGGTCGTCTTACTTCAGCCCGAGTTTTGACTTCAGCCCATGTTTTTAAAACTTCTCTTCCTTTAGCATGGGCCTCTTTCCTGGTCTAGCATTGGATGCTTTGGTTTCATACAGATGTTGGCTTGAGGTGTGTAAGCAGTCCGTCCACAATATTGTTTGACAAGCAGCGGAGCTCTGCAGCTCAAACATCTTTGCAATAACCACATTTTTAGTTCAATTGCACTAACCCTTGCCTCAGTCTGTGCAGAATACAGATTTCCTCCCCAGTTAAACTGGATCATTTTTCTTACTGGAGGTTATTGCTCATAGACATGGACTATGGGACATTACCCACATTTACACACAAGGAGAATTACTATGAAGTGGCTACTTTTGATCAATCTTAAAAGTCTCAAAAGAGTTAAGATTGGCACTTGTTATTGATCTGATGGTCTAACCAGGAAGTCTAGTCTAATGTATGTGTAGCGCTCAGTGAGAGCTGACTGGAGCTGAGCAGAAGTGATTAGTAAACATGGACCGTGGTCTGACATATCAGCATTCACTTCTCCCTGTTAGATAGATAAGCCTGTATAAAATATGAACATGGGCCAATCTATTGAAGAATTCATTCTCAGAGCTTCCAAACAGTGTGTCAATGTTCAATACTGTTATTGTTTTATCCACTTACAGTTGGACCACTGTAATCAGGTGACTCCTTCAGGGATCAATACTGACAAACTGTTCAGTTCTGCTTTAAAGATTTAATCTGAAAAATGTAACACAAATGATTATGATCATGTACAGTCTATGGTTGTGTCACACAGTCATGTGATCATTCTGATACCTGTTGACTCATCGAGTGATCCAAATAAGGATACTTAGAGAATTATTAGATATTAATTTATATATATATATATATATATATATATATATATATATATATATATATATATATATATATATATATATATATATATATACAAGACACACTCAACCCCACTTTGTCTGAAGCCCCCACTTAAAGATCTCAGCTCCTGTGAACTCACCACCTGCAGGAGGATCAGTGAGGGGCTGGTGCTCTGTGTACTGGGCGCAGCTCTGACTGCCACCCCCCCGACCCAGAAATGGATTAAGGGGAAGAAAATTGATGGATATATATATATATATATATATATATATAGGTCTAAGTGGGAAACTCCTCCAAAGGTGGTGGAGTGCGAAGATCCTGTGGGACTTCCAGATACAGACCGACTGAATGGTACATGGAACATGAAAAGCTTGTGACCCCGAAGCTAGAAGAGTGGTTACAGCGGATCCCTGGAACAAACTCGGACATCTCGGTCCAGAAATGTGCAGTGCTAGGAACAGAAAAGATACTGCGCAGAACCCTCAAGCTCCCAGGCCAATTTTAAATATATATATATATATATATACATATAATATAAATTCTATTGTAGTCTATTTTACAAAAGTAAAATAGACTACAATCAAAAGTATGTATTTTTATTGTGAAAAAAAGTCTATATTGAAGAAACTGAAGAATTGTTCAGCAGTCTGGGAGGTCTCTCAGCAGAAGACGTTTTATTGCTACACAGCAATAATCTGTTGCATCGCTCATAGATAAGTTTATTACGACTGTCAGACCAGAAAAAGTGGAAACTCATCGATTCTGCTTCATATACTATGTCTATGTGTGTTGCTCATGTGTGTGATTCATGTGTGTTGTAATTATTGATACTACACTATATACCAACAGCTCAGTTTTAGAACAAATGCACAAAAAGTCCCATAGCATCTCCACAAACATGACTAGCATGAAACCTATATATGTATATATCTCAACAGAGAATGTTTAACTGCGTTGCCATGGCGTTGTTTAGATGAAGTGCCACCTCTAAAAGGTTAGACACTAATGCTTTGGTATGATAAAAAAATCAACAAACAATTTAATTAGCAGCGCACTTTTCCATCACCAAAGGCAAAAGAAAACATTGTCGTATTTTTTTAATTCCAAAACGCCACATCTTACATGTTTGTGTTATTACAGTGAACGTGAATTATAATTGACATAGTATTACATTTTATCTTGATATTTCCTTGTTCTAGTTTAGTAGCTCACCCCTCCTCTCTGTGCGGTGAAGACATAGCAGACATTCCACAGAGAACAGGTCGGACCGGGCTGTGATGTCACCTCAGCATGCTTCCTAGTTCCTCACTCCTCACTGGCCTCTTGTGTGTCCCAGTCTAGTACACCTCTCCCTCTCTCCCGCAACAGGACTGTTCCAGGCCGAGATGAGACTAGCGTTGGCCTGTTCTATCTGAAGAGTAGTTGGCAGGTATGTGCATTGGTTTGAATACTTTTTGTTGTTTGTGGGTGCTATGTTTATTGCCAATGATGATCAATTAGGAAGCACTAGAGTCAAAAAAGTGTCGCTTTGAGTCACCACATTGTTTATCAGACTCTACTTAACACTCAAGGTGTCAGATTTTTCCAGAAATGTGATAAGAAAAGGTGGAGCGCTGAAATCTTATGAGAGAGAGGACTACTAAATCCATAACAAAAATAAAATCATTAAAAAACGTTTGGAACCGTTTGTTCAAATGTTTGTGGGAAGCCAGGTTGCTGTATAGAAAGTGTTTTCTATACAGCAACTGATATTTTGCTGTATAGATATTTTGGTGCCTAAAAACATAAAGTCACCAAAATCTGTGCAATATTAATAATACATGCCATTGGTTTTAGTCTTGACGGCACAGCGGAGTTGCCACAGACGTTCCTTACTTTGAAGCACTGGTATGTCTGCTCAGATGACAGATCTTGGGTCTTACCTGATGAAATACAGGTTGGAATGACGCTAATCAACCTCAAAGTTTCCATCTCTAACCACTGCAGCTGGGCGACTGTCATGGCATGTCATTGTTTTTTTTACAGTGAAGTTGTGTATTGGTTTATTTTATACATCAACTTCTGTATTTACTGTATATATCAACTGTAAGGCCTGTGCACTCGGAGGTGTGGTCTATTATTACCCTTATGTTATATGATGACATTATTATGTTGGTTAAGTAGTTTAGGAAACATGAATCAGTGGAACCTGAACTGTAAACATACGGCTAATCATAATACTCAGAACATGACAGTATCACTTACTCTAGTCTAGTTCCTCTGCTAAAAAAGAGGCCAGTATAAGGCCAGTACAAACCTTACCTTACCAAAGTGTTCAAATGAGCGAGTGTTAAAATGGAAATAAAGAAAGACACACACACTATACCCACTAAACTATATACATTAATCACTACTCCTTATCCAATCGAATTATCTAGTAAACATGACTATACTCAATGCTTTGGTAGGCATTTTTGCTTCTCAGGAAGAAGGTGGCCACAGGGTCTGTGGATTATGCATGTTCGCCCCATGTCTGCTTAGGTTTTCTCTAAGTGCTCCAGTTTTCCCTTCCCTGAAAAAGATATTTTAAATGCTCAGAGGGACTTCCCTGATTAAATAAAGGTGAATCAATAAGTCTAAAAGTGCTTTGGAATGTATGTCATTATAAAACATGAAACCGTTTATAAAAAAAGAACGTTGTGTTATTATTCACTCTTAAAAGAAAGTACAGTTTTACTACAGTTACAGTGTAATTTTACCACCAAAAGTGCTTTGTCTGTATGAGTGTGCAGCTCTGATCAGTCATGTGCTTCTGGAACAGGCAGGTGCAGCTCTATCGTCCTGTTTACAGAGGGCGGCCTCTGGTTTAATTTCTTAGGAAGATATCTATTAATGGAACTGAAGCAAACAGTGACACATGTTAATAAAGCAGATTAAGTCATTTGTTATGTGCAGAAAAAAGGTAAATGTGGGTCATGAAGCTGGAACTTTGGTTGGTGATTTCAATGGTTTTGTTAAGTCCTCTGAGATGACTTCTGTTGTGACCTAGGGCTATACAAGAATAAATTGTATTGTATTGTAAATTGTAACTTCATAATTCCATAACGATTTAGACAAGTTTGCACCTGTTGGAACTGAAAGTTCTTTGCATTTAGTTTATGTTGACATTTGCATTTAGGTGCGGCAACTCAGGTGCAACTTGGAAAATATAATACATCAAAGTGAGATTTGTTATCATGAGCCGAGGCAGCAAAGTAACCTGCTGTATATTTTCAGTTTTTCAGAAAGAAAACGAGTGCTCTGTTCACTGTGCTCTGTAAATACGTGTTTTGTAATTTCCCACTGTTTTTTCTATTGAAAACGCCCTTTCCGACCCAGCCATGTGTTCTGTAAAAAGAACCCTAACAGGGTCTATATTATGTATTAGTTTCAGTTTGAAATATAGACATAAGTTTTGAACTTTTTTTAATTTTTTGAGTTTCACCTGTAGCTTGCAGGAATCAAACATTTGGAAAAGACTTACTTCAATTTTTTTTTTGTGATAATGTATACAATTAATTTTTTCTAAAGAGATTATTTTGCTCTTTGAATCTAAAAGCCTTGTTGTGTTCAAATCAATTTTATAAGATAAACCTTTATTTGTCACACTGTGGGGACGTTGTGTTTGCTGTTTTCGTACCTTGACATGTTTCCATCGCTGCAGCCTCAGTGGAAACACACCACAGTGACGGTGTTTCCACTGAGGCTGTGACGGCTCATTTAAACAGCGTCAAGGACTGAAAACAAGCAGAACATTGCTCTGACAAGCGAAATCCTCCTGATGTCAATCATGTGTTCGTATAGGGGCTAAGTTGATGGATCTTCCTTCATATGACGAGGCAAGGCAGCACCCACCGACGCCAGGCCCAGGGGTGCTTCACGTGCCGCCTCCTCCCACATACGACGCCTCCATGTCCTCTCCATCCCCTTCCACCCCACCCCCCTCCTATGGAGAAGCAGGTGTGATGTCACCTCACGCTATACACTTCTACTCAGACTCTCAAAATTAAAATAAATACAGACAAAAACAATGCATATATTTTATTTATTTTTTTGCCTTTGAGTCTTCATAAGGATTATGGGGGGATGCTGGTATAGAGACACATTCTGTTCATTCTTTTTTGAAAATGACAAGAGACATTTTGAAAAAAATAAAACATCTTCTCAAACTTTTTTGTGACCCACAGTTGAGTTTGAGCCCAATCACTTTCCTGTGCTGTCAGTGCCCATGAGCCTTCACCAAAACACAGGGGTCTTCATCTACCCGACCACAGACGGTACCTCCTCCTCTTCTTCTCGTCCCTCTCATGGAGCCAGGGCGTGGTTTAACCTGTGCTGTGCTCCTCAGTGCCTGTGCTTGTGAGTCAGTCCACCAGTGTGACCCAGAGCAGCCCTGCGGTCATATACCAGCCTCAGCCTGTTCCTCTGGTGGTGGCCTGCCATCTGACCGACAGCCCTGCTCTGGTACAATGTTCTCACTGCGGGCGCACCGGTACCACAAACATCACCAACGTGCCCAATGGAACCGCCTGGTGCCTCTGTGTGCTGCTGTCACTCATGGGGTAAGCATGCCACTCTTCCACAAAGACCAGTTTTGACAAATAATTGGTCCTTGTACAGAGTATGTATGTCTGTACGTACACAATAGCTCAGTTGGTAGAGCATTGGTCTTTGAGCCAGAGGGTCGTGGGTTCGAGCCCGACCTTCACCATCGATTCCCACTGATGTCTCCTGTCGTTGTGTCCTTGGCAAGACACTTAACCTCTGGGCACACCAGCCACAGTGGGGCGGCTGCGGCTGTTAAGTGCCAAACTGCTGTTGTGTCCTTAGGCAAGACACTTCACCCCCATTGCCTAGAATGAGTCTGGTGTGAATGGTTGGTGGTGGTCGGAGGGGCCGATGACGCATACTGGTTGCCTCGCTTCTGTCAGTGTGCCCCAGGGCAGCTGTGGCTACAGTAGTAGTTTATCACCACTGTTTATGGAGTGAATGAATAATGACATGTGAAGTGTCTCTGAGTGTCCAGAAAAGCGCAATATAAAACCAATGCATTATTATTATTATTATTGTCTGCAGCTCCCCCAGAGATACCATGGGCCTCTTTCTGTATCTCTGAGTGCTGTCATTGTTAAAATAGGTAGACAGCCATGTCTTGGTAGGTTTTCAGTCCTGCCATACTATTTCCATCCCTTGATGATGGAAACAACAGTGCTCTGTCAGAGGTGTCTTTATACAACCTAAAAATGCATTAAACCTCTCCCCAGCTTTATCCTTGACCTATCTCCTGTGCTCTTTGGTCTTCATCATGCTGTTTAGATGCAACATTCTCTTGAAACACTCCGGACTTTATAGCTAGGGGAGCATTTTTCCACAGTTCACTGGCACCTTCTACTCGACAGAAACACTAAAACACATTTATTGGATGAACTAGACAAATAAAAAAGTTATATGTACATGTTTGTGTTGCAGGTTGGTCTGTGGCTTCTGTCTGATTCCACTGTTTGCGAAAAGCTATCAGGAAGCACATCACTCCTGTCCACACTGTGACCAAGTGGTACATGTTTACAAGAGATGACCAGGAGAGGCCCATCAGGGCACACTTGCACTGGGTCAGTGTGGTGGATTACTTGATGATGGACTTCTCAAATAATTGAAAGACATTACTTTAACATATGTGAATTTTAAATAAAACATGTATTTAGTTTATCTGTATTGTAAAAAGCAAATGTATTTGTAAAAAAAAAAATGAAACACATTTTTTTTTTTTTTGTATCTGTCATGTTGATAGTTTTATAGATTGGTTTTGGATCTAAGTTTTGTTATCTCACATGAGTCTTTCTGAGCCTCCCTGGTTACGTGTATTAGGGTTGTGTTTTGAGCCAGGCAAACACAAGAATTCCATCATATTTATTGCATTCTAAATAGCTTTTGGAATATACAAAGTTGAATGTATGCTACTCTCTGTAGACAAATGTAAGTGTACTGTTCACCTGCACTTACCTCTTCTTTATGCACTGTATCAAACTGTCTCTGTTTTTTTATTGAACAATGAGTGATGTATTGAAGTTCATGAGATATTAGTGATAATATAAATGATTTGACTGCAGCCAATGGCAGTGATACAGCAGAGCAGATAGTCAGGTTAATCAGCGACAAAGCTGGGCCTATAGTGTAGATAACAAAGTCTCACACTTCCTATCTGCAGAGCTCTTTCAGATTTGTGCACTGGTCACTGTGGACGGTGAGGTGGACACTATGGAGGGTTGGTTGCTGCTTCTGGGGCTTGTGAACGTGTGTGTGTGTGCGTGTGCGCTGGACACTCACACAACAGTGTCCAGAGAGGGGGCTGTTCTACAACTTAACAAAGGCAACTTCCACAAGGCTCTGAAGGAACACAGCCAGCTCCTGGTGCACTTCTGTGAGTAACCACTAGAGGGAGAAAATAACACACGACACAATAATCATGTGTTTGGCGCTGGTTCTCAAATGTGCGTGATTTGTGTGTCCTTTGTGTTTATTCATGTATTTGCTATGTTGTGTATAATGTATTGGACGTAAGCATCACTTAAAGCTTGTGTAACTTTCAAACCACAGAATGTATGTAATAAAATCCATCAATCTCTCAAAACAGTTTGGTGACATCAGAAGTTTTCACATACCTATATTTGGTCTCTGTCACATTTTAGATCTGCTTTTTCGGACGTAAAAGTGGAAAAAGAAAGGAATACCCTCACTCAGCCAATCAACTCTCAGCTTATAGTGTCCAATAGTGACTTACAGGGCTCTTTTAATGCAGGTCTGCAAAAGATAATGTGTTTTCCAGTAGGATGAAGACAGCAAGTCTTTCTGTTGGGACAATAAACATGAGTGACTTATGGGGGGGTTTTTCAAAGAAAAACGTTTACGTTGGTTTATTTCTGTGTCTTTTTTTTGTTTTTTGTGTTTTGTTTTTTTTTACCAGTGGACAAACCATTCCAAGAATAAAGTCAATATTTTGACTACACTTAAGATGAACAAAACCTTTTAGTAATCCTCCTATTTTGGATCAAATCTGTATACAAGTGGATATCATCTACTAAAGCATGTGTTGACTGCAGCCAATAGCAGAAAGTGTGTGTTATTTGTATTTATTTTATTTGTTCATGTGTTTATTCTTTTATTAGTTAAATGCATTGGATGTAGGCTGTTGGTCAAACGTTTGGGCTGACACATAAAAAGTCAACATTTTGGAAGAAGCCCTGTTTTTTCAGTGAGGATGGAAATCAACAAAGTTAAAACTATTCTACCTTGAAATTGAAGGAAAAGCATTTTCAATACCTACATAGTAAACAAAGCCTGACCAACCCGAGCCACACCATTTAGTCAAAATGTAGAAGGAAGGGCCTGGCTGGTCCAGAGGGACATTTCCACAAACCATCACTCAGGTGTGCTAATGTAGCAGTGAGAAAGTATGAAATTATAATATTTATGAAAATTTCATGCTGTCTCTGCATGAACACAACCGTGAGATACAACAGAACAACAAGTTGCATACAGTGTCTGATTTTGAATGGTAGAGTACGCCATGTAAATCATTGATAGAAGAAATCCCTGTTGTCCAAAAAGGCTGAAAAGATTATTGAATTGTTCTGGCCTGCGTCCCATAGATCGACCTATGAGTGCTGACGTCCATCAAGTGTCCGAGGCCTTTGCAGAAGCAGCAGCACTGAATCCAGACTCAGAGGTCTGCTTTGCGACGGTCGATACAGAAAAAGAAAAGGACCTGGCTAAAGATATGAATGCCACAGAGCCACCCTTCATGAGACTGTATCTGTCTGGAGATAGACTCACCCCGGTGCCCTGTCCGAGTAAGTCACAATCGAGTCTATCACTACACATACATTACTGCATGTGGACCGCATAGCAATGTTAGTCCTGTCATGCATAGAGTCTGTTCACATGCATTCAGTTATGGAGTCTATATTGTTGGCTGTATTATTAATTCATTATGACTTTGTTTGCAGCTATGGCAACATAGATTTTATGAGGGTAATAAATGTGTGTCTGTGACCTCAAGTAAAGAGTTGGACTGAACCAAGTAAAGAAAATGACGATAAAACTTTAAAGAAATTAGAACTTTTTCAGACTGTTTCAAAATGTATTTATTTTTCTACCATTTTTATACTTTTACTCCTTACTTTTAAACAACTTCAAACCACATGAAAAAATGACCGCAATGTGAATTGCAAAACAGCAGAGAGCAATTGTTAAAATCCCATGTAGATGTTACTGCAGGTTTGAAATGGATAGCCATGATTCTTAGTTGTAGTGTTTCACAGGCAACACTTGAAGGCAAATGAAAGCAAAACGATTTTTTTTTTTTCAAATACACGTTTCTCGTACTAGATCCTAAGAGCTCCTCGTCCATTCTGACCTGGCTCCAGAGGAGGGCGGGTTCTCCTGCTGACCTCGTCACGGACGACATCCAGCCGGAGCATCTGCTGGTGCTCGGATTGTTCAAAGTAACAACTGTTTCACATTTGTCTTTAAAATCAATGGTATAAACTGTATGTGTGACATGTCAACAGTCATACTCTTGTGGCAGTGTTTCCCAATCAGGGGTGGGAGGACACGAGCACTGATCAGGGGAGAGATTGTCAGTTGAAAAATATCAAACTGCATGGTATATGGAACATAGGCTAACTAGCTCTTTGGCAACTGCTTTCAAATTATTATGGTAATGTAGATATGAATTTTGTGGTTATTGCTCATCAAACAGCAAATATAAATACATATATTTTTTAAATGTATAAACAAAAATGTACATGCCTGCAGAATGTGGAGGTGGGTGGTCGGTGTGCTACAAGTTAAAGGGCATGTACCTGCTTAAAATAATAATCATAATCTAAAAAAAATACAACAAAAAATATAATTATTAGAATACGTTTTACTTATATTATGCCTTTTCAGGTTCTCAAGGTCATCTTACAAATGGTAAAAAGTAAACAAACAAAAAAAAACAGTTAAAAACACACAGTTAAAAATGAGAGAGTCAGTGTTGCAGAGGTCATTGGGGAAAAGGTGTTCCAATATTTTTAATTTGATTATACAGAGTTATATATCTGAGGAAGATGAAGTTCAAGGCTAATGTGGCCCTGTTGAAAGGCTAATTATGAACATCTAAAACATGAATCGCCAAATAACAATAATAACACTGAATTACATGTAATGCATGTATTCTAAAACACGTGGAGCGTTTCCAAGAATGTGTGTGAAGGACTTTCTCTGTAGGAGCAGAATGAGGCGTACGTCCAGGTGTTTTATGAGGCAGCAGTAGAGCTCCCGGACCTGCCCTTTGCTTTGTCGCACAGTGATGATGTCATCCGTAAATATGGCCTTGGTGAGGATGTCGTGTTGGTGCTTAAACAGGTACGAACAGTTACTGATGTATCAGACTGTGGAAAATCACAATAACATGTATTTATTTATTATTTATTTGGCAGATTACAAGATATAAATAAGTAAACTATATGTGGGCCATCTTTAGTCCATCTTTTAAATATTTTACAACAAGAACTAGGCCTTGAAATCACTGTATCAAGTCTTTCCAGAAGACTCAATACAATACATAGCTTGCGATATAATAAAATCTCTTGTTTGTGATCATTATTTATAACAATTTATATATTGCTAAGGATCTTTTGCAATTTATGTTTTTTTTTTGTGTGTGTGTGTGTGTGTGTGTGTGTGTGTGTGTGTGTGTGTGTGTGTGTGTGTGTGTGTGTGTTGCAGTCCAAGCTAATGCAGGCATATAGAATGAGCTCAGCGACGACCAAAGAGGAGCTCCTTCTGTTTATCACCGTCTTCCAAATGGACCCAGTCACAGAATACTCTGGACAGGTGCTCGTCATTACTCATATCCCTGCAAAACAAACATGCAACATGCAGTAATAACATGCAAAGTAAGAACATACATTTTAGTAAGAACATGCCAAAGGTATAGGAAGTTTGATCAAGTGTAATTTGTGAGCTACAGTGAGTATGTTTTGAAAATACTTAAATAAAGGTGATGTTTGTTTGTGTTGCAGACGGCTTCACAGATCCTGAGCTCTCCTATTCCAAACCACGCACTTTTATTCATCAGGAAAACAGCTCCAGATTTTGAATCCATTTATGCCGCCTTCAACCGCACAGCTGCAGCCTTCAGGTTAAAAGTGAGTTATTCCTTTTTCACAGCAGAAGATCAGGGTAGAGGGGTCCAATATTATCCTATACTAATAATGATATTGATTTCAATTTGTATTCTACATGAAAGAAATTTGGCACTTTCCTGAACATCAAAATTAGATACTGTAATTAAACATACAGTTTTTTTTATGACTTCTCCAGGGTTTACGGAACGGCTCTCGTTTCATTAAAATCATTAAAATGTATAAATAATTGTATTTATGATTTTTTTTTTTTAATCAATTTATTATTCAATACCCAGCTCCACTGAAGAAGTTTTAACTACAGGATGTGGTGTGTGTGTGTCTGTGTCTGTGGATGTGTGTGTGTGTGCATGTGTGCTTGCATGTGCGTGTGTCTCAGCTCTTGTTTGTCCTGGTGGACGTAGATGAGACCCGTAATGGCCGCCTGCTGGAGTACTTCCGGGTCCGGGACTTTGAGGCCCCTCTGGTCAGAGTTGTAAACCTGACCGATCATGTGACGTACCACCTGCCCTCTCTCACTCTGGACGTGGACACCATCAGCTCCTTCTGCCAGGACTATCTGGACGGCAACGCCGCGGTACGAGGGACCACAGGAATATAGACCATAGAAAATGTTCTACACAATAATGATGTTTCCGAGAAGAAAACCTTCAATACAATGTTTTGTTTTCTAACAGCTTCTTTTTTATAGTTCTTTATAAACTATTTAATTTGAAGTACTCGACACAGATTAGACTTTCACACTCATGAGTAATTTACAACTCCCATCTCAATATGACTTTTATGGATAAATCTGGGCCGAATCTCTAACTGAAAACATATTTCAACAAACTACAAAGCCAAAGCAATTTGCTAGTTTGTGACTTCCTGTTACCCACAATTACCCACGTCCGCTGTTCTATTTCCTATCAATATATTTTTTTCTTCAAATTCTTGGAGAAGGCAGTGTCATGACACTTGTTACTTGTATATGATTAAATGTATTTGCATACTCAGTCTTTTTTGCACGCTACTCAGATGTGCGCATCAAACTCACTCTTGTCACACTCAGTACCTAACATGTAATAGTCATTCAGGTTTGCGCTTAAAAATGTATTGTGGAAAATGAATAATATTTTTGTTTTTTGTTCTGTTTTCTGCCAAAGCCCAAGATGCAGAGTGAGCCTGTCCCAGAGGACTGGGAGCAGCGGCCTGTCAAACAGCTGGTGGGCTCCACTCTGGAGAAAGTGGCATTTCACCCAAACAAGACCGTGTTTGTACTGTTCTGTACGTACAGCCTCTTACACACATGGTCCATGGCAACGAGCAGGAAGAAATGCACCTCAAAATATTTATACTTATTGGAAAAAAATGTTTTAAAATGTAATTGTATTTCATGAAACTTTGCAAATTCGTCTTCAAGTCGCAGTCAAACTGACCAATTCTGTTTACTTAGTGAAATTATTTTATTCTTTCACTCTTCTCCTGATTATACAATATTATTTACATTATGTTTTGGTCTTTTCTGGTTGTCTGTTTCACCCCATGAAATAGGCAGCTGATTATTCATTTATATTTTGTTCAAATACAAATCAATTTGGTACATTTTACTTGATTATAAAATCACATCCCACTAGGGTAATGCTGGTCATAAACTCCTATAATATGAATGATTATTTCATGAATAAAAAATAAAGCCAATATTTATATTAAAAAATTCCAAGGGCTACCCTAAATTCTTGATTTTAAACAATTAGAGAACCTGCTGGACTATTAAGCGCACCTGTTTATAGAACGCACCAGCAACATTTTAAGAGAAAGAGAGTTACCACATACAAACCGCACTTGAACATAACTGGTTTAAATGTTGTAATGTGACACTTAATCAACAGTTGATAGGGAAAAACAAATTTGCAAGACGATCGTTTCAACTGGACACAACATGATTTAATAACAAGTTGATGCACTGTTGATGATCAAAGCACTATGATAAATCTGATCTATTTTTACAAAAACATTATTACTAAAAAAAGTGCTCTGACAACAGCCCTAACACTTCCTCCTTTCAGCTGTCTACTGTTCACATAAACACATGAGAAGGAGGCATGTCTGCTATGCCATAAAATCTGGAAATCAACAGTTGCAGATCAAACTGTGTCCAGAGGGAGTCCAAACAAGACAAAAATACATTCATTGGCCTCATCACTAAATCGGCTTCAGAGTTCACAGAACTTGAAATAAGAATTGAAGTAGCAGCTCAGAGTTCAGCAAGTCCCATCAGTTTTAGACTGTCCATTGGTTTGAGGATTTTCCTCTGTTTAATAATCACAGTGTGTGTTTGCAGACCTGCCGTACAGCCCTCAGTCCCGAGCAGTGTTCCCGCTGTGGGAGGAGTTAGCAGAGGCCTTTAGAGAACAGTCAGATGTGATAATCGCTCGAATTGACGCCTCTGCCAACGACATCCACATGTCTATGCAGCGGCAGTACCCCTCCTTCTGCCTCTTCCCCGCCCTCTACGCTGAGCGGGTGAGACCCTCATCACACTCTGTCATATTTGCAACCCTTTGTCACTGTGGGTTATTGAGTAAAAATACATTACACTGTTTTTGTGTTGTTCTCCCCCAGGTGATAGTCTATAGCGGTGATCACAATACAAAAGACATGGTGAAGTTTGTTCATAAAGAAATGAAGAAAGCCAAAAAGGACAGAGTTGTGGTATGTACAGTCCCCTCCAAATTGTTTTTTTTGTTATTAATGTATGTTTCTTATGGTAAATATGCCGGCAGGAAGATGAAGACAGGAGGAAATACAGGGAGACATTGAGGGAGGAAGAAGCCAACAAATTCAAGCAAAACAAGGAGGAGCTGTAACATAGTTCCAAAAAATAAGGTTATAACCCACTTGGAGAAAATGCAGTTATTTATAAAACTGTCTGATGTAATTGCATAATGGAAAATAAAATACACTCTTAAGGAAATTGTGTCTCATATCATATGGCCCTGACCTGTGGAGTACCACAGGGGTCGATCCTGGGACCTCTTCTTTTCAATCTCTACATGCTGCCGTTAGGTCAGTTAATACGCAGAAACAAAGTGTCCTATCATAACTATGCAGACGACACTCAGATCTATGTCTCACTGACTGCAGGAGAACATGGACCAGTGGACTCACTCCTTCACTGTATCCAACAGATCAGTGAGTGGATGCAAAACAACTTCCTTCAGCTAAACGCAGACAAAACTGAAATGATTGTCTTTGGTCCCCAGAAACAAAGAGAGAACGTCATCTGTCACCTACAGTCTCTCGCCCTAAAACCTTCAAACAAGGTCAGAAATCTAGGGGCAATACTGGACTCAGACTTAAATTTTAATAGCCACATCAAATCAGTAACATCGGCAGCTTTCTACCACCTAAAAAACATTGCCAGGATTAAAAACATAGTGTCTAAAGCAGACCTGGAGATTCTTGTCCATGCATTTGTCTCCAGTAGGTTAGACTACTGCGATGGCCTGCTCACAGGTTTGTCCAAACAGGCTGTAAAACAGCTGCAGTACATTCAAAATGCAGCAGCTCGAGTCCTGACTAGAACCAGGAAGTACGACCATATTAGTCAAGTTCTCAGGTCTGTGCACTGGCTTCCTGTGGCTCAGAGAATAGACTTCAAAACAGCTCTGCTTGTGTAAAAGTCTCTCCATGGCCTCGCGCCAAAATATATCAGTGACTTGAAATGCCGCTTTTCCACAGTAATGGTACGGTACGGCACGGCGCGGCAGAGTGTGAGTGCTTTTATATTAAAAATAGTCCTCCAAGTTTCTCCTCAGCGTGGGAGCGGTTGTCAGACCACGTAATTTACGTGCGACTCGTGACTAGTAACAGTGGTCTGATGTCACTTTTTGTCATTTGAAAAAAAATGTTTTTATTTTGAGTTCATTACATAACTTAGTTTTTAACATACATGTATATGGTAAATCTAAGTATCAACTTGAAAAAGGAGTGAGAAGTAAAAAAGGAATATATGATAAAAAAAAATATACCTAAACATTTTGCCCTTGTGTTTTGATCAAAAATAAAACCTTTTTGTATTTAGCAAATATACTTCTATCCTCATTCATAAATTTGCCACGGTAATACATATTTACTGACAAATAATGTATGTAATGTAAATAGAAGTGAAAGTCTTGATACGATCACAGTTTTATTAAAAACCAAAAGTGCAAAACCAACAATTTACAAAGTCCAAAGTACGTATGTCTTTGAGACCAGGTCCAGATGAGGGGAAAGTTAAGTACTCCGATCACTCATTGCTCGTTTGAAGTACATTTTAGCTTAGCTTGCTATCGATAGCTAAATGTCGCTTGTTCACTATGTACGAAAGACAATCAAACTTTTACACAAATAAATATATTTCAGTGAGAGCTTTGGGCCAACGGGATACGTAGCTAACCAGTTATTTCCAGGATTACCACAGGCAAGTATTGTCAAAAAAACAACGGACGTGTCTCAGAATTTGATACAGAAATAAGACCAAGCATTCAAGAGTTCAAAATCAATCAACATTTAATTCTCTTTACAATTACATTTTAATGCAAAACTCATGGGAGCTCTTATTTCCCTAACTAGCCCTATGAACTGAGAAAATGTAACTATCCCTCCAGGACTGAAAATGTACTGAGAAGACAACAAAGGTGCTCTGCGATGTCCTCTCTCTCTGTCTCTGCTCAGACTGCTTTTCAAAATGTCCTACCAACAGTTTTGAAAGAGAGCGGAAGTGCGTCCGCATACGTCATCTGGATCCCTTCCAGTCCCTTGAGTCTGGTCTGGTCTAGTTTTGGGTTTCATTCCTTGTCCCGATAAGGGAGGCATGCTTTGTCCCTAAATTGAAAGTTATATCACAGAAACCAACCTTGTCCTTGAATCTTCTCTGGACTCAGGCTAAACATTAAACAAAACACCTTTTATGCAGCTAGTGATTCATGTAAGAACACTTTATAAAAACACTGGATGATTAATCATTAGTATAGAATATTTTAAGGAGACATTTCATGATTAAATATAGAATATCATATTTTCATAGATATGGATACATGGATGACAGAAAATGTGTATCAACGTGTGCTGCATTTCTGGAATTTGCAACACAAGTCACAAATCAAGAGCGATCTCACTGAAAACCTTGTTTCGTGTTGAGCCTTGAGATGCCTTTGAATTCTTTCTTCAGCCTAAAGAGAGTAGCGTGTGGACCTCGTCCACCGACCAGGATGCTGACTTTTGGGGCTTTCTGTGCAATTTTATTTCTCTGGAGTGAGTACGTTATTAAAATAGATCCATGGGAGGACGTATTGAAGCATAGCAGCCGGTTTTAAAGATGGCGGGTTGAGTTGCTTTTACCATAGGTTGGACGTAGCTTCAAGTGACGACACTTGTTGAGGTGTTGATCAGTGAAAGGCAGTCGGCTGACGTCCCCTCATGGTATCGCTTTGGCTCACATGGAACCACTGTCGAAAAAAGTACCCCCGATCTCAAGCCCAACCCTAGTGGAAATGCAAAATAACCTAAGACGAGTATAACATGAACAATCAGAATCAGAATCAGAATCACTTTTATTGCCAACGTAAGTAACAGGAGGTCACAGACTTGGAAATTGCTTTGGCTCAGTGCAACAGTCAAAAAGAGATAATAAAAATAAGAATAAAAAACACTTCTAGGAATAAATTTAAATTTAAAATAGAGTTACAGTTACTATTTACAATATACAAGTGCACATGGTGCACACAATGTAAGGTGACAGCAGTACAGTGAAGTAAAGTGACGTATGATGGGCAGTAAAGTGACTTTATAAAGGGCGGGGGGACAGGTTAAAAAGTGTTCAAGAATCCAACAGCAGAGGGGAAGAAACTGTTCTTGTGGCGGGAGGTTCTAGTCCTGATGGACCGCAACCTCCTGCCTGAGGGGAGTGGTTGGAATAGTCCATGTGCAGGGTGAGAGGGGTCGGCTGTGATACGACCAGCCCGGCCTCGAGCTCGGGCGACGTACAGGTCCTGCAGCGATGGAAGGCTGCGGCCGATCACTTCCTCTGCAGAGCACACAATGCACTGTAGTCTCTGTTTGTCCCTGACTGTGGCTCCAGCGAACCACACGGTGACGGAGGAGGTGAGGATGGACTCGATGATGGCCGTGTAGAACTGCACCAACATCTGTGCAGGCAGCTTGGCTTTCCTGAGCTGGCCGCAGGAAGTACATCCTCTGCTGGGCCTTCTTGATGAGGGAGCTGATGGTCGGCTCCCACTTGAGGTCCTGGGTGATGGTGGTGCCCAGGAAACGGAAGGACTCCACAGAGGTGATGGGGGAGTCCATCACGGAGGGTGGGGGTGGGGGGACAGTGCTCTTCCTGAAGTCCACAATCATCTCCACTGTCTTCTGGGCGTTCAGCTCCAGGTTGTTACCACTGCACCAGGACACCAGCCGGTCCACCTCCCTCCTGTAGGCGGACTCATCGTTGTTGGAGATGAGTCCAATGAGGGTGGTGTCGTCCGCGAACTTGATCAGCTTCACGGAGTCGTGGCTGGAGGTGCAGTGGTTGGTGTACAGGGAGAAGAGCAGGGGAGAAAGAACACAGCCCTGTGGGGCTCCTGTATTTATAATCCGAGAGTCCGAGACATTCTTCCCCAGACGCACTCGCTGCTTCCTGTCCGTCAGGAAGTCAAAAACAAGGTATGAGGTGTGAGCATGTAGTAATCAGTAGTGTGAAGTAGGCATGAATCTATAATAATAACTGGATAGGGTATTACTAGCTTATAGCTGTCCCACTCATGGGCAAAGGGGGCGCCCGTTGTACTGCAGACTAAATTCACGCGGGCTACCCAGAAAAAAGTCCCATAGAACTAAAATAGCTCGACCTCAGCTGACAGAGAACCTACAGCTTTCAGAAAGATCGGATTTTGTGGGGATTTTAGTGTCCCTTGTCATCCTGAACTTTTTTTCTTATTAAATCCTTCAGTTTTCTTGAAATCCACACTTTACTGACACAAATTCTACGCCTTTCCTTCCCGCTCTGACTCCGCTCTACCACTGCTCTGATCAGCAGCACTTCATCTTCTCACATTCCATTTCAGTGTCCAATCTCAACAAGAGCAACTCTCTGCTGTTCAAAAGTCAAACAAGTCGCCCCCACAGGTAAAACCAAAATGCCCATTCCAAATAATTTTTTCTTTTAAATTGCGCTTAAGAACACTCAATTACACACAATTGAATTCCCAATATCAACCTTGTAACACTCTGCAATTGCAATTAAATGCCTTTTAGTGCAGGGTTTTTAGGACAGAGCCCCCAACTTACGGCTGGTTCAGGGCCATAACCAAGAAGTCCGTCTGATCCCCTTATCATCCACAATAACATGTGTTGCTTAAAGACCTTATGACGGGTTTGATTTATTTAGAAATACAGTTTTAATACCATTTTATATTAGAAGAGAACTACTAAAGGTTTCAAAATCAGTTGTTGGTTTTTTTGTCTGATCCCCCCAAATTGAAATGACCCCATAGCAACGCCCTTAGAGACGAAAAAATTTCACAGCCCTTGGTGACGTCAGAACGGGTACGTTTCAACGCTGTAAGTTGTTTACAATTTGGTATTCGTTCTTTTTTCGCGGATATTCAAGATGACAAGGCCGTGTACAGCGAGTGTGAAATTACTACTAGACTGTGATCCTTCGTTGGCACTGAGATAGTCCAGTGGTTGTGTCTCACAATGTTCTCAGGTCAAATATTTATATGCAATTAAAATGAGATTCATTGCAATTAATTAATCACAGAGCCTCTAATTAATTAGATTCTTTTTTTAATTGAGTCCCAGCCCTAATTTTATCTTTCTTTTTAATGTACTGTGATTCTTTTGATTTTAATTTAATTTTGTTCAACACTTTGAGTTGCCTTGTGTTTTAATTGTGCTTTACCAATAAACTTGCCTTGCCTTGTGAAACAAAGTATTTATTAAAGTGAGACATTTTTAATTGTATTTCATATGAAGAAGATCAGCTATAATTCGACTGCTCCATATCACGCACACACATATGCACACAGAGACAGACACACACGCACACACACACATGTACATACACGTACGTGCACACAGAGACACCGAGGTGAAGTTGGTTGGATTTTGGATTTCCGGCAGATGTCCGAAAAAATATCTACAAGAGATCGTTTGTCCCGTCTGCAGTCACTGTTTTAAACAACCGGTAGCACTGCATAAATATGAACTGTTGTGTCTTTGCTAAATGTATTTTAAGTGTGTTTTACATACAATTTTTAACTGTACCGTGCTGAAAGAAAAATCTCTGCTCAATTTGAACAGACAATATTACATCCTATTCTATGTTCACATTAGGGAAGCGATGAGTTCATCAGCCGGCCTGAGAGTAGTACTCGCACAAGTCTTTGCATGTATTTAGGGACTGTCGATATTTTACCCAACTCTAATTTTTAACTATTATGAAAGTGGATATAAAAAAGCGTAATGGCTAAATAATACAATACATTAATAAACGGGAAGAATGAGGTTTTCCTTTTCAATAGAGACACACAAACAGTGATCATAGGAATTCAAAATGCACAGTGTCGCTCCCCTCAGGGCTGTAGGAAAATGGCGAGGGCCGTTCAACGCCGCTTACGGCTTTAATTTTTTTTTGTCATTCTCCCTTTTGTTATGTTCTCTGTGTCTTTGTCAGCTTTTAATAGGTCATACAAACAGCTTGCTTTTCGGGAAAAGTCCCTTATGTATTGTCTGTAGTATGACAAAAGGCCTAACATTATTCTGAGTTGACCTACTTTGAGTGCCCTTACTGCATTGAAGTCGGCAGGATCAACTCTACTGCCCTCTGCTGAAGTGCGCTATTCTGCCTAAATAGCGCACTTCAGCTCTAAATATGTCGCACTTACTTGGTTTAAGTTTGATACCAAAGTTCCTTTGTCTCTGGAGACAAACAACAATCCTTCATTATCAGCATGGGGGATGATCATTTTCTCAGGTGGTTCAGTTCCGGCTACGAGTTGAAAGGGCGTTTGAATCCACCCGAGGTACGGCATACTGGTCCCACTGGCTGCGGTCAAGCTCAGTTCAGTTGAGTCCATAATATCTGAGACATCTCTCAACTTTGCGTGTGGAAAGCAGTCCTCTTTCCATCTCCCATCAATGATTGACACTTATGAGCCTGAATCCCACAGGGCTTGAAGTCTGTGGCCATCCAGGAGACACTCGACCAGACACTGTCTTGTTCACTTATCTTTGCTGTGTGCTCCTAGTAACTAGTGATGCAACACTAAAATGTCCCGACTGTAGGATAAAAAGAATCTCTTAACTATATGGAAAGAGATGACATCTAGATTGTAACATCTTTGCCCATCCATCCCATCAATCTATGACGTCATGAGTTGGAAATCAGTGCATTTAGCCCCATTTTTCCTTTATATCTTTGTGTCAATAATAATATAGTTTATTTAAACACTGCTGGGCCAGTTCTTCATACTAATCCCTTTGCTCACAAACCACATACACATTTCATTAGTCATGTTCTTTTATTGTGATTCGTAATGTAATTCAAATGACTTTGTAACACAACAGCAGTTTATCTCTTTGATATGTGTATCTGGACGTTTCTGGATATGATTTATAGAATTATTGCCTCTGCATAATCACTAATGAGGCCCCAGAAATGCAACTGAAAAACAAATTCTGTTTTGAATTACAGTAGGTAGCGCAGCAGAGCTGTTTCAGCACTAAAAGCAAAGGTGCAACGACATAGCTGTGTGAGATTCCCATTGGAATATGCACGGACCCCCATAAAAAGATGATTCATCCCAAGGGGCAATACATAACAGACACATGAACTCAAAGAGGAGGGGGTGTTTGATCAAAACATTCATCAGACCAGTTATGTTCTTTGTTTAGTCTGTTGTGTGTCTGTTTTTGGACTGGATCAAGAGTCTGTAATAAAGCTATCCATCCATCGTATGTCATTGTGAGTTTAACAACCTTATATACAGCATTTGTAAGTATATATAATTGGATTCATTTTATGAGCCAATTCTGACCAGATGGACAACCCAGTGAGTGTTGTCAGTGTGGCACATATGTGAGATTGGATATCATGGCAAAATGACATGGAATAAATAATTTGGGGTTAATAATTGTAATGCACATACAGAGAATTTCGGCATTGGCCCCAATAAAACTAAAAACAGCACTGCAAATGTGCACATTGACTATAGCAGATATAAAGCATTATGATTCGAGTACCAACAACCGGATAACCTACTTTCTATAAGACTCTGCGTTTACAGGCACGTGAGGTTCAGCAGACCTAGTTTAACATGTTTTATGCTCTGTTTGCAATATTGATGCACAATAAACCTGGGTGTCAAATTCAAGCCAGATCTGGCCCGGATATGAATTATCATGGCCCCTGGGATGATTGTTTGAGTAGCATTAGAACCAGCCCGCACAGTGCCATAAGAAAATATTGGATTACTTATTTAATGTTCAGGCCATGTGTTTTCTCTTTGAAGGAAATTTGTTTTTGTCTTTGAGCCAAAAGTGATTTTTTTCCAGACGCATTTTTTTGAATATTGTGGGAAAACGTCCCTAAACCCTAAAAGTAGTCAAGTTATCATGTGTTTTCGAATATTAATGGAATTGACCAGATAACTATAGTCTCCAAAAAGTAATAAAGAATATTTTGGAGCGGACCGATAAAAATAAATCAATGAGATTCGTTCATCCCCAACGAACCAATGGGATGCGTATACCCCCTTCCCCTCTTCCTGCTTCTCACGAGTGCACGAGTTTTCGGACTTTCTGAACAGAAAATACCAATTTCACGTTTGCCACCTACTCTTCCTGTTGTGACAAAGAAAAGAAAATGCTGGATATTTGGTGGTGAGGCAAGGAGTGGCTTCGAGGTGGTGCTACGGCTAAGCTAATAAAATCGCTTACTGCACCTTTAATCATTTAATACAACATGGTACACTGCTAGGTCTTAGTTCAATAGGTTTTGTGCAATAATTTAAATGTTTTAAAAAAACTTAATCAGTTCGGCCGACCGCTTGTAGCTAATCAGTTTTTTTTTACCTCTTATGTATTTGACTTTGACATCCCTGCACTGTAACCAAGGCTCGGATTATGAAGTCACAGAACTTTTAAAACTAAAGTATTGCCTCTCCAGTTGGATTCAATTCAATCTCTGTACATGATTGATTTAGATCTAAATTTGGCAGAATAAATATTGCTGAATATTTATGCTGTTTTCTAAGCCATAATTTGTGGTTTGCAAAATCTTTGCAAATTCATGCTTGCGACTGCAGTCGAATAGAACATTTAGTTTGGATTACATTACATCCTGCAGCCCAAGATTACTGGTATATTATAGTGCATTAATTAGCTTGTTATGTGCAGTCACAGCGCATGTAAACTCAGCATCAAAATTGTGTTGCTACTACTACTCCTGCGTCTGCTAAAAGCCTCCCTATCTGGTTATCATCATGTGCTGCTACGGCCCCTTCTTCTCCTTTGAGGCAGCGCTAGGGGGTGGCTCTGACCTGGCCACAGCCGGAGAGAGCTCATGGAACAGGCCGGAGAATGGAGTCAGATCTGGGTGTGCACGGCCAACGTCAGTGGGCAGCAAGGAGGTGGGGGAGGCAGGGGAGGCGGTTGCCGCCTGGGTGTTGTGCGGGCCGGAGATGGCCTCAGATGTGGGAGCAGAGGTGGGGGTGGACTGAGTGCTGTTTGAGCTGGAGATGGCCTCAGATTTTGCCTCATATGTGGGTGCAGAGCTGGGTAGGGAGGAGTTAGAGTTGTCTTCAGAGGCAGAGGGGGATTCGGGAGGGGGAGAGGGTGCGGAAGTGGACGAGCCAGTAGGGAAGATGGCAGGAGCCCCAGAGGGAGAGGTGGGACGGACGGAGGAACCTGGGTAGTCCCCCTGCAGTGAGATGGTCTTTGAGGAAGGTTCATCGGCCTGAAAGGAAAAATAGTCACACTGTTGCACATGTAAAGAAGAGGCAGCATCTGACGTTTAACAGTGGTTTAATTGTCCTTTGGCACGACAGGCAACTGCATGTTCACAATCATTGTTCTCCGTAACTCTCTCATCTCCCTCGGAACCTTCTCTCTTTCTACTACACGTGAGGCCCTCACATTTTACTCATAACAGGCGAACGCCGCCTGGTGGAGCCAGTATGCTATTTTAATATATTCTAACATTAAATACTGTGCCTAATAATACAGTCTCAACAAGACGTAAAAAGTAAATTAAATAAAAAGTTAAAAAATGAAGTATTACAGGGGTGTCCAAATGTCCTTATTCCCTCACCACTAAGTTAAGAATACACAGGTTTTAACTATTCTAACATTGCAGTTACGTTTATCTCCATCCACGCTAATATCAGGAGTTATAATCATAACTCCATCAAGTTAAATGTTCAAGAATATCTGGACGTGAGGAGTGTTTGCTGAAGGTGAGAGGCCGGTCTGGATGGGATGGGCTACAACAGGTAGTCTACCAAAGATTGAATTTCCGCGGGCTGCATTTCAAAAGAAAAGGTTTGGGAGTGCAAAACTGTCATTTGCTTAGGCAAGACGCTTAACCCACATTGCCTGGTGAGAGTTTAAGTCTGTGCACCAGTCTTTCCGACCAACACCAGTCCTTATCACCATCAGTGAATGAACATATCCAGAGACTAACCAAGAACAGCAAAGGGGGTGCCTGAAGTACCACTTAGGGTTGCCAAAGAAATAAGGGACACCATTTGGGTGGATTGGGTTGAGCACTTTTTAGTCCTAATTTCAATCTACACAGTAATCCTGGAATTTCATAATCACAGTTTTTAGAATGTAATTTATTGACTACATATAAAAAAACAAATCCTTAGTCAAAAATGAAATTTAATAAATAGGTGGAACTCTTTGGCTGGAAAAGGACTTAATGCATTCTTATTAGAAATACAACATATAAAAAATATAAATGCTGTAACATACATTATTTATGTATGTCACAGTAAAGACCATTTACTGTAAAAGCAAATAAAAAAGAAAAACATATGTATTCATTAAAAAAACTTCACAATGTTGAAATCAAAGTCTGTAGTAGTTAGATGTGGTCATTATTTATAGTGTCTGAGAGTTTGTTGCGTGTTCATGGCTTCAGTAAAAGCTGTTGTTCGTTTACAAAGCTGGTCTTGACATTTGTTGACGCTCCCTAAGCACTTTTCTCTGCGCTTGCAGTGCATTGGATTCAATCGATTTTTCTGCATTAAAACAGCGCATTGGATTTGAAAAAACAACGTAGAGATGATCATTTTAGAACAATTACTTTTGTTTAACAAAGTAGCTTTCGTGAGCTATTGACCTCGGAAGTCCGAATCTGGGAATATGACGCTACTTTACCCATGAAACTTCTGCCGTGATGATGCTGCGGGCACGGCCCACGCTGCCACTTGTCAACATTAAACCAATGGATGTTGGTTTAATCAGTTTGACACTGATTGCCCAAAAGGTAGACGCTTAAACTGTGATTACTTTGTGTGCGTGTGTGACATGCAGTGAGTGAGTGATGCATTTAAGGTGGCTCTGAAAATACGGGACAAAAGCCGTCCCGTATCGATTCAATACGGGACGCACATAGTTTTTCTATAATACATAGACAATTCCGTCTTTCAAGGGACGGTTGGCAGCCCTAGTACCACTACACCGAACTCCATGCCAATACAAACGCAAAGTAAAATACTTTTATCCTCCACAGGGAGGAGAGAAGGACAGTGAGAGCTGCTCTTCCTGAACAACTTTCTCGGGGGTTTAAGTTTTCTTGCATGTTTGTGTCCGGTACACATTACCGTAACGTGGCTTTTTACACTTAAATTGCCTCAGTGTATAGTGTAAGTGTATGTCTGAGTAAGTTGCCAACTGCAAATTCCATTTTGATTGTATTATATCATAACATAAATTATGTGTGCTTCATCCAAATCAGCCTCCTATTTCAAGCTGGGTTATACTGACCTGAAGCCTGGAGAAACTGGGGGCCTCTGAGCCTGTGTCTTGGTCCTCGGGTATGGTGGGGTCTTGGCCTTGGGATGTGGAGGGGTGAGGGGGGGTGGGCTCCTGGGGGTCTGAGCAGATGGGCTTACCCTCTGCCACATACCACACCTCGTTGTGACGATTCAGCAGCTTCAAAGGACTGGAGAGCGAAGAGAAGATGTTATTGTCCTACAAGAAGTGCATGATCTGTTCATTGTATCCTTAAATCGGAGCTTGAGAATATTTAATTTGGCATGTCATGTTTAGAATGTAAGAATGTATTATGCTAAAGTTGGAGATTTTTTTTATTTTAGTCTAGCGTTATTGTTCACTTATCTTTTGCTGTGTGCTCCTCATTCCTACTGTTCAATAACTGGTGATGCAACACTAACATTTCCCCACTGTACGACAAATAAAGGATCTCTTAACTACTGTATGTGGAAAGAGATGACAAATTCAAAAAGTGATGATGAGACATCTAGCTGGTGGTAGATTGTAACATCCATCGCATCAATCTTTGACGATGTGAGTTGCAAATCAGTCCAGTTAGAGCAGGGGTGGGCAGTTATGTTTTCCGGGGGCCCAATTGGGAATGACTGCATATTGTGGAGGGTAGTTTTCATGGGGAAACCATTTCATTTGGAAAAACATATTTCATAAATTCACTAAATAAGTGTTTAAGAGTGTAAGCAATAAGCAATTTTTTTGTGGAAAGTTGTTTGTGGCTTATCTTTTGCATCTGTGACGTGTTTAATATTTTTTTTTTTTATGTTTACAATATGGAGGGAAGTTGAGCAAAATATTATTTTACTTAATATGGGCTTGAATATCGCTTTTTGGATGCTTGGATTATACCCAAACTGGACCAAATGGTGAGTCTTGTAGATAGATGAATGTTTCTTATTATTGCTAATTATTACTCATTAGTTTTTGATTAAAGGTACACTGTGTATTTTTAGTGCCATCTAGCGTTGAGATCTTATATTGCAGTCTAATATAGTACGGGTTCCTTTGAGTTGAGGAGCACTGTTGCCTAGTTTGATAAATGGCCGCATCTCTCCAAACGTCTCGGGCACTTGACAGACGCGTGGAGCCGATTTGTAAACAAGTCGGCTCCCTGCACAGAGGCTCTACTGAGTTTTACCATGGATCTATTATAATTAGGGCTGTCAAACAATTAATTTTTTTTAGTTGATTAATCGCATAGTAATGGTGAGTTAACTCATGATTAATCGCATTTTTAACATTCTATTTCAAATCCACTCCAATTGAAGTTAAATGAGATTTTCAATTGTAATGACACATTGTTAGTCATACCAAATGTACTTCAATCTGTTTGACTTGCTCACAACCTTCTACTTTTGGGTACAACCAACAAGAGGTGTTAATGAAAGAGAAAATGTAGGTACCCCAGCTTTAATTTTGCGAGTTTGGTTGCATTTCAGCGTGTCTCCTTCTCTCCTCCGTGTGTCACACAACATCAGAGAATGGCCCCGGTGCGTATATATATATGCATGTATTATATGACCACGTTACCGCTGTCACCATCACACACACGCACGTGTCCACGGCATTCTGATTGATATTTTTATAAATGGGCGGGTCATTCGGACATGCGTTTGACTGCCAGCCTATTTCAGAACTCCCATATTGCCAGCCGTTTCTGATGATTTTTACTGAATTTTTAAGACCCACAGAATATTGTGTACTATGACTATCTAAATTCTGAAAGAATGGACTGTCTACTTTCATCAGCAAAAATAATGTAGTTTCTAGCTTGTTTCGTTCCCCTGTAATCCCCAGTCAAGTAGAGGTAAGTTTTATTGAAATCACCAGAAAGCTGAGAAAAAAGAGGCACATGTGCATCTAGCTTCTAGCTGTTTTCAAACCATTCATAGAGCAATGCTGCCATCTGCTGGTGTTATGTACAGATAAAACAAAAAGATCTCCTCTGGTGAAAAACGACACGGGTTTCAAACGGCTTCATTTATTCTCTGGGAAACATCCAGAACACCAAGTAGCAACAACACGCAGGCAGGACTCACCAGTCCTTTCTTATTACTCACACAAGAGTGCCACCTATTGGTGAGGCGGTGACACTTCACTTTCTAATTACTTTGGGTGTCAAACACCACAGCTCCTCCCCTGTAGTTTTAAAGTCTCCACTTTAACATACAACCCTGTTGCAAACAGCTATACCAAAAAAAAAAACCAATAAACACTTTGGTAACCACACTACTAAGTGCCATGTAAATAAAAAACAAATACATGCAACACTGTCCCTACAAGTCCAGACGGTCAGGAGGACGTACATTTCTGTGAGGCCGTTCCCTGCGTGCAGAACTTACAGGATTACCCAGAGCTCTGTCTGGTGGTACCAAGCCCTGGTTCTCCACAGGCACCTGCTCAACAAGATCAGTATTTGTTAAGTCCTCTCCTGGATCAATGTGGAAATCCCAATGTTCTTCAGTGTCATTTTCAGTCCCTTGTGGAAGTCCATCTTTCCGTTTTGCATCAAGCATTTGGTTTACATGTCTCTTCACATTTTTTCCATTCACCGAGACCAAATATGTGACAGGACCCAAAACCTCAGTGATCACACCATCCAACCACTTCTCGCCTCCCCTGTAGTTTCTCACCAACACACTTTGACCCTCAGAGAAAAACCTCAGTCTTGTAGGAGGAACACTGATAGTCGGCACGTACTGAGATGCGTCCGGTTTCACTAGTGAAAGACGAGTGCGAATCTGTCTCTTTAAAAACAGTTCGGCTGGAGTTTTCTTAGTGGTGGAATGTGGCATATTTCTGTAGCTGTACAAGAAATTAGCAATACAATGTTGCAGCGTCATGCCCCCTACTGCTCTATTCTTTGCTAATGACCTTTTAAAGTTTTGAACCAACCTCTCAGCCAATCCATTTGACGCAGGATGATAAGCTGGGGTTTTAATGTGTTTTACCGCATTCATGGACAGAAACGTTTCAAATTCACTCGATGTGAATTGCGGGCCATTGTCTGATACTAGCTCTTTTACTAAGCCATATGACGCAAAAAAACCCCTCAAAACCTCAATAGTCTTGGCTGTGGTAGTAGACTGCATGTGAATAATTTCCGGCCAGCGGGCATAAGCATCCATTACGACCAGAAACATCTGTTTGTTAACCTCTGCAAAATCAATATGTATTCTTTCCCATGGACTAGAAGCCCATTTCCAAGTATGCACAGGTGCAGTCGCTGGCATGCTACGCTGGTGCTTACAAATGTTACACTGACTTGCCTCATTTTCAATATCTTCATCAAGAGTAGGCCACCAAAATAAACTCCTGGACAGACACTTCATTTTGACCATTCCCCAGTGGCTTTCATGTAACTCAGACAGTAACCTGTTGTGTAGTTTTTCAGGAATAACAACCCGGAAACCCCAATGAACACAATCTTGTTCCACTGTCAAATCAAATTTGCGCTTTACATATGGCTGTAAAGCTTCATCTGGGACATGCTTAGGCCAACCTGTTCTCACATAATGCTTTACTTTTGTGAGCACAGGGTCTTTATCAGTTTCTTGTGCAACATCCTTGGCTGTAAGTGGTAAAATGTCTAAATAAGACACTCTGAAGACTGGGTTTGGTTTTGGAAAGTTGTCGTCTGCTATGGGCAATCGAGATAATGCGTCCGCATTACCATGTTGTCCTGAAGGTTTATACTGAATCTCATAAGCGTATGCTGCCAATATCAGGGCCCATCTCTGCATCCTAGCTGCAGCTAAAGGTGGTACTCCTGTTTTGGGACCTAAGATCTTCAGTAAAGGTTTATGATCTGTAATCAAGGTAAACCTGGGACCAAACAAGTACTCATGAAACTTCATTACTCCAAATACTAAGCCCAATGCTTCTTTTTCAATTTGTGAGTAGTTCTTTTCCGCTTTAGTGAGCATGCGGGAAGCAAAAGCAATATGTTTTTCACTACCGTCTGTCATTTTGTGTGAGATCACCGCTCCTATCCCCACTGGTGATGCATCACAAGCCAGTAAAAGTGGCAGGTCTGGGTTGTAGTGAACCAGAATTTTACTTGAGGTAAGCGGCTTTTTCGCTTCCTCAAAAGCCTTCTGACACGAGGCTGACCACTCCCACTTTTCTTCCTTCTGTAACAATACAGTCATTGGTGCAATTATCGTTGAAAGGTTTGGAATGAACTTCCCATAATAACTTAACAATGACAAGAATGATTTCAGCTCTGTTGTCGTGGTGGGCACTGGAGCATTCACAATAGCCTCACACTTATCTGGTAAAGGGTGAATTCCCTCTGCATCAATGACATGTCCTAAGTATGACACACTATGCTGGAAAAATGCACATTTTTCTCTTTTTACCCTGAGGTTGTGATCCTTTAGTCTTTTCAAAACCTCTTCCAAATGCATTATGTGCAACTCTGTGTTATTTCCAGTAATCAGGATATCATCTAAATAACAGATGACCCCATCAATACCCTGCAGTACTTGATCCATTAACTTTTGAAATATTGCAGGTGCACAAGCTACACCATACGGAAGTCTATTCACTTGGTATAGCCCCTTATGTGTATTTATTGTTAGATATGGTTTAGAACCGTCATCTAACTCCACCTGTTGATAAGCTTGTGACAAATCCAGTTTAGTAAATCTTTCACCACCTGCTAGTTTAGTGAATAAATCCTGTGGTTTGGGTATCGGGTACTGATCTACCTCAAGCCATGGGTTGATTGACACTTTATAGTCACCACATATCCTTACAGTTTGATCCGTTTTTGGAATATTGACTGTAGGTGCAGCCCATTAACTATAATTTACAGGTGTTATTACCCCATCAGCTTCCATCTTATTTAGCTGATTTTCGACTGCCTCTCTGAGTGCATAAGGCACCGACCGTGGCTTACAAAACTTTGGAATGGCACCTGGCACCACATGTAGCTTTGCTTTAATCCCTTTCACTTTCCCAAGACTAGGTTGAAATACGTCTGTATATTTTTCACATAGTTCCTGAAAACTTTCTGATGCCACTCTGTTCACAGAAGACCAATCCAGTTTTAAACTTTGAAATCCAGTCTCTTCCCAATAAGGCTGGACCATTACCTTGGACCACAAGTAGTTTAAGTGCCTGAGTTACTCCATTACATTTAACTGAAACTGAAATACTCCCTCTTAGCCTCAGAGACTGTTTACTGTAGGTTTTTAACACACAGTTAGAAGGCACTAGTTTGAGCTTTTTGAATCTCCGCTTATACAGACTCTCTGAAATCACAGACACCGCTGCCCCGGTATCTACTTCCATTTTCAACCTTTTATCATTTTACCCTTATGTAAACATAATATGGTTTCACAATGTCTGTATCACTGTCAGAGTTCACGTCCTCACCCGCAGTTTTCATGGAGAACAGCTCCAGGTCACTGATGTTACCTGCCTGGTACTCCGAGACAAAACCTGGCTTGGTTTTAACCTCCACTCTCTCTTGAGCGGGCTGTGGCTCCGCAGATGCAGCTTGAGTTTCCTTCTCTGAAGTGTAGAGGACAGCAGGCTGTTTCTCCGGTGGTCTGGTCCTCCCGGTGCAGATATTGCTCCTGCCTTCCTCACGACGGCTGTCTTTCGGCGGGTCCCTGGCGTCCAGATGCTTTGTCCACTTGGTCTGCTTGTCCTTTCTTTCTTCGTATTGGGACCTGCAGGCTTTAGCGATGTGCCCTTTCTTCTTACACACTCGACACTCCACATCTTTGAATCTGCATTCGCCTGGTCCATGTCCATGGCCAGCGCATCGGTAACACGGTTTACCGCGCTCCTCTTTCTTCACATTAGACCTTGCAATGGCGTTAGCTTTAAAAGTCTTTTGGGACCACTGTTGGGCATTGTGTTTTGTCACCTCATATGCCAGTCCCATATCATATGCTGCTGCCAGGGTTAATTCCTTCGTGTGCGCCACATTTAATAAGCGGTCACGTAGCTCAGCGCTTTTAACCCCGCACACAAATCTGTCTCTGAGAGCATCTTCCAGAAACGTCCCGAACTTGCACGTGGCTGCTAGCTTCCTTAAGCTTGCCATGTACTCACATATAGACTCGTTTTCTTGCTGGCTTCTAGTGTTAAACTTGTATCGTTCGGCAATAACGTTGGTTTTGGGGACAAAGTGTGTGCGCATCAAGTCGATTAACTCTTCTAGTTTTTTCTCCCTCGGCTTAGCAGGTGCACACAGATCCATTAGCAGCGTGTGGTTCTTCTTGCCGACCACCGTCAAAAATACTGCTTTAGCTTTGTCATCCTCTAACTTGAGTCCATTTGCCACAAAGAACTGTTCTAACCTTTCCAAATAGGCATCAAAACATTCTTCATTTTCATCATAGTTAAGGTCTTCACCTTTTCCAAACGCCGACGCCATTCTCACTGCACGTGTCTCAACGGAGTTTTCTCTTTCGTTGCAAAAACAAACAAAAAACTCTTCTCATCCAGAGGAAGATCCCATCCTCGTCGCCAAATTCTGTTATGTACAGATAAAACAAAAAGATCTACTCTGGTGAAAAACGACACGGGTTTCAAACGGCTTCATTTATTCTCTGGGAAACATCCAGAACACCAAGTAGCAACAACACGCAGGCAGGACTCACCAGTCCTTTCTTATTACTCACACAAGAGTGCCACCTATTGGTGAGGCGGTGACACTTCACTTTCTAATTACTTTGGGTGTCAAACACCACAGCTGGCTCGATAAAATATTGCCTCAAGCCTTACATATTTGATACAATAGACATCTGGGAACGTGAAAATAGCGGGAAACGCAATTGACGTGTTAACACGTCAATGGCAGTTAATGCGTTATTCTTTTTTTTAACGCGTTAATGAAAATGGTAATTAACGTAAATTAACGCGATAATTTTGACAGCCCTAATTATAATATATAGTTTTACAAACGCGGTGTGAAGAGAAGAGACGCATGGAGGAATAAAGTCTGTGGGAGCGTAAAACTACGATGATCAAAGAAGCAGGACATACAGAGCCGAGTCAGGACATGGCTAAAAGCTCATGTTAGCATTAGCATTAGCCACAGCGCCCTATCTGCATCACAGTAAGAAAAACAGAACATTCACTCATGCTGCTGATAAAGTATTCTGACGATTGTTTTGTGGGGATTCTGTGTGTGTTTTATTTGAGGCTTTTTCCCTGAATAAGTTTAGTTGAAACTTGTGACAGTAGTCCTGGCATCCTGTGACTGTGTTGTAGATTCTACCTCGTTCTCATTATTGTCAGTGTGAAAAAGTTACTTATTGTTCACGTGTGAGTTTGTTGTGTACAAACTACACAATGTGCCTCCTGTTGTGTTAACGCTGTCTTTGTCCGTGTGGTTTGTGCTGTTGACAGTTTGCTGCTATGATGCCGGACTCCTGCATAATTATTTTTCTAAAGAATTGTTGTTTGGATTGTTCTTTTACATAACTGTGGTCCTCAATGGTTCTTTTATATAACTGTAGTCCTCCATGGTTCCTTCTTCCAACTTGTGAAGGCACAGTGAAAGCAATATCAGTAGCTCATGTGAAACGAAAACGCGATTCTCGCATCCTTTTTGTCCCTTTTCCACCACTGGCGCAATGACACGGATAGTCCTCAGCTCTCATAAACACTTATAAGTTCAAATCTAAGCCTTTGAATACAGTTCAAAAAACATGGTGGAGGTATTGTAAATATTCTTAAAAAGGTCACATTTGTTATTAGTTATCATGTTTTTTTTCATATGGAGCAGCTGTAAAAATTACACAGGGTGGCTTTAAACTGTGCAAAGCACAATAAATATGTGTTTTTTTTCCGAATAGCTTTAAAACCAGGTGCACATGCTATGGTAGCACATTCAGACGCCAGCTTTCATTGGGTATTGTGTATCATTTAATATATAATATATATATATTAGGTCTGATTAAAACAGAATACTGTGGAGATCAGAGAACAGCATGAAACTTGCAGAGCACCTGTCGTAGCCCACACCATAATGGTGGCTGTGGTTGTAGGAGGCCCCCACCCGCTGCAGCTCTTTGGTCAGCTGATGGGCCTGTAGGCGCGAGGTGACCGACAGCATCCAGCCACCGTAGCTGCGCACGTACACGTCCATGTCCGGCATTTGGGTGAAGTACACCTGCAGCAGCGAGAACAGATCAGAGCTTACATGTTGGTCTGAAGGCAAAGATTGTTTCTTTCACTGTTGTAACAGATTGAGTTTGCCCCCTGCACGCCAATAAGCCAGGCGTAATAGTGGTTGTCAACTCAAGATGTGCTCCAAATGAATTTTTGCCGCACAATCTCAAAGCTGTGCCTTTTTTTGAGGGATCACCGTCTCCCACTCTGCCTTCGACATACGTGCGCAGTTTGCACACAATACCAGATTACTTAATTCAACGTCACATATTGAAATTGTCCTGACAGTCCCCAACACAACAAGACGAATCCCAACTGTGTTCAAAATGTCTGAAAACGGCTCATACTGTAAATCCCAAAACAATAAAACCTATTCAGGCCCTCACTTGATTATAATAAACAACCTTCATTTGAAGTGCTGCCAGTGAACATTATGAAAAAGAAAATGCCCAGGAAATACTTGCTCGATGGAGTATACTAGTTTTAGTATCAAAGATTAGACCAATATCTGATATTTTATACATTTGCCAACCCTCAACAGGGACAGAATTAACTGTGTAGAATAAGGGCGTAACTTAATGATCAAATTTGGTGGGGACGGTGGCGTTGAGGTTATTGGGACCCTGCTATTCCGCTGGTATCTGTGAATATAAAAAAATTATAGCCCTCGATAGCTACAACAATTAAAGAAGCTATACCCAATTTTTTTTTCTAATGAGTTCATAAAAATGCTTATTACTACATACAAGTTGTATTATAATTTATAATTTCATTGAAAACTTGAGCTCATTGATGCAGCTTTGAATTAATTCAGGCCGTATATAAGTGCTGAGTAGAGACTTAGCGGGACGCTCGCTCTCTTCCACTCACAGAACGAGGAGCGAATAGCCTGCGTCCTCTAGCGTCTACAGCGCTGATGGTAAACACAGCAGCATATTAGCAAAAAGTGGCTACTTCCTCTGTCTGTAACTGCATACACAGCAAAACAACCCAAACGACACAACAGTGAGGGAGAGAAGAGGGAACTAAAGCAAAAAAGTTATCAAAGAAGACATCAAGCCCGGGTGAACATACGTAGCGTTAGCTTACCGTTAGCTTACATGGTATCCTCCAGAGAGACCTGCGGATTCGGGACCGCCTCGAACTATCTATGCTCGGACATTTGAACATGAAACTAGCTGTAATCTTTCAGTAATATATTTTGTTATCAGTGCTTTGCTTTTGTAACATTTCAGCAGTGATTGTTGTACAGGTTACAAGAAGTTGCACTAATGCTAATGTTTGCATATGTATCAGATCGCAAATAAAACTAGATGGCTCTGTGGGATGAGAGCGTAGGGGAAATGAGAAGCCTGTGAGCGAGTTGGGGGCGTTGCTAAATATTCAAACTGAGAAAAACCTAGGAGAATAGGGTATAGCTCCTTTAAAGGAATAGTTCACCGTTTTTACATACTGACATATGTTCTTACCTTACCTTAGACTAGTTAATATGTACCTGTCTGGTCTTAGTCCGTGCGCTCTGTCATGCAAACGGAGCAAAAACGGGAGCACAAACGCAGCCTCCTCTGGTCACTGTATAGTACCCAAAAGGTAGCTCCCGCTAGAAGCTACCAAACTCTTCCAAGTGTTCCCTATTAAATGTATATAGTTACGTGACGTGTTACACTGCAAAGTATAGTAACACAGAAATGTAACTGTCGATTTTCTCAGCGGATAAAACGGGTACTATATTGTGAGGCGTAGTAATCTGAGGGGCGCTACGTCCGCGCACTAACTTCTCTCCGGAGACTTCTCTCTCGCTCACTTCCGTCAATAGAAGCAGCGTGACTTGTAGTACGGAGAGAAGTTAGTGCGCGGACGTAGCGCTCCTCAGATTACTACGCCTCACAATATAGTACCCGTTTTATCCGCTGAGAAAATCGACTGTTACATTTCTGTGTTACTATACTTTGCAGTGTAACACGTCACGTAACTATATACATTTAATAGGGAACACTTGGAAGAGTTTGGTAGCTTCTAGCGGGAGCTACCTTTTGGGTACTATACAGTGACCAGAGGAGGCTGCGTTTGTGCTCCCGTTTTTGCTCCGTTTGCATGACAGAGCGCACGGACTAAGACCAGACAGGTACATATTAACTAGTCTAAGGTAAGGTAAGAACATATGTCAGTATGTAAAAACGGTGAACTATTCCTTTAATCAAATTGCAGATGTCCAACGTGCAACAGAGCAACAGGCGAGGAGGCCAGTTAAGTTGAAAACCCAACAAACAACACTGCTCTACCGCGGCCAAAGTGCCCGGAAATATTTGTGGGGACTGTCCCTGCTCGGTCAAAGTTGGTGTGGACATGTCTCCACTAGTCCTTACGCCTATGGTCTAGATTAGAACTCACCTTGTCATGGGTGGGCTGGGGGGGTTTGTCCTGATAGGCCTGGGACAGGGGGAAGCTCAGCGTGTAGATAGCTGGCTCCCACATTCTGGTCTCCTCCGGGATCCTAACCAGAACTGGAGCGGTCATATCCATCTGGTACCCTGCCAACCACCAGACACTTAGTACTACTGAACAATTCTGACTACATTCTAACAGTAACTGTGTCCTTACTGCAGTCTTATAGTAAAAGACCCGTGTATACACGTGCAGCACTGGACCTACACAGTAAACGTACAATTACGGAGAGGTGTTTCAAGTGACAAGGCAGACAAGGCCTCTGACAAAACTATATGCAGAGCTACAGTCAGACAGTGTAACAGTACTTGTACTACCATCTGAAGCGTTGCAGTACTGGCTCACCTCCCTCGTTGGCTCCAGTGATGTACTGGAACAGCCTCCTGAAGGCCATGGCTGCTCCCACCCCCATGAAGTAGGCCTCTGCATCAGTGGACACCCAGAGCGTGGGGCTGTAGTGGCGCACCTGTGAGGGGGAGAGCCAGGTCAGAGTTCCCTCTCTCTCTGTAATGATACTCCTATTTTTAATACATTCATTCACCAATATTACGTACCATTGCAACAAAAAACCTGCCTATGTGACAAACCGAGGGTTAATTTGTATGTTTGAATAAAAATAATAATTAAACACAAACTATAAGGACACAGATAAGGGGATTAAGGGAGGACAAAAGATTCCATTTAAGTACATTCATTTTATTCATCAATTTTAAGCTTGTTTTCACTTGTTATTCAAATCAGTTGTAGTACAGCATTCAACAACTTGTATTCTTGGAGTATAGACAACAGGAAAGAGCATCTAAAGACAGCGGTAAAAGACAGCGGTAAAAGACAGCGGTAAAAGACAGCGATGAAAGACAGCGATAAAGGAGCAGTATGTAAAAATCTGGCCAAAAGTGGTACTGCAGTCACAGTCAATATTTTGTAGTCCTCTCCCACTCTCCCTGACTCAGGTTGCCAGATACACACCAAATCCAGCAGCAAACACAAGGAATGAATGAATGAATATTTGAATGAATGAATATTTTATTTAAGTGTCATGCACATATGTGCCCAGCCCACATGGGCTTATATGACACTATAAACATAACTTGGAAGACGACCATTTAAACAATATGTTCAATATACAATATACATTTCACAGAAAAATCAAGAATCTGGCTACAGAGCTTTCAATCCCATTGTCCAGGCTTTCTCCACATATCTTGCCAAACAAAAAATTGAATTTCTAAATAACCAACTCAACATATCACCTTCTGCCAACCAAAATAGATCAGGATTACTGCATTCGACTCTTTCAAACAAAGCTGTTCTTAAATCATTATACAATGGACAATAGAACATAAAGTGAAATTCATCCTCCACCACACATAGATCACAAACATTACAAAGTCTGTTCTCTTCAGGTACCCCTCTGTAACGACCCTCTGTGCTCTGAGCTGAGCACACAGAGACCTCTGTCCTCTTTTCAAATTATATTTCACATAAATCTCTGTTGAAAAACATTCTTTAATCTGAATATAAGTTCTCAATTTCGGTTTTCTTAGCAATTCAATTTTCCACTTCTCTTTGTAATGATCAAATAGTATCTGCCTGTGGTTTGTTATTTTACACTGTAAATTATTCCAAAACAATGATTGTGAATTTATTTTTGTGAATATTTGAAGGACCTCCTGAGACCATGGACATTTATGAGTTTTGTCCCAATTAAAGACTTTCCTAGTGAGTCTCTCCTCCGGTAATTGAACCAGACGGTTCCAAAGTCTTAACATTTCAGCCCACTGTTTCACCACGCAGGGTTCCCAGCCCATGTCTCCCTCTATGGCTGCCTTGGGAGTGAACTTATGGACTCCAAGGAAATACCTCATAGCTCTGCTTTGGACAGAGTTGCTCTCTGCAGCATCCTGAAAACCCCATACTCCTGCAGCATAGAGAAAAACAGGAGCTACCATTGAGTCATAGAGCTGAGTGAAAATAGTGAAGCGCAAATCAGGACATAATTTCATCTTACTGATAACTGCACCCAGAGCCCTCCCAGCAGAATCTGCTAGTACTCTTCTACCATCAGAAAAAATCATATTCTCATGAAAAACAAAACCAAGATACTTATAAGTTGCAGAATACATCAACAATGTTTGACCAAAATGAAATTCATACTCACTTTGACAAGCATTAGGCCTTCTAAAGTTAACTATTTGAGTCTTATCACAATTAATATCAAGTCTCCATTTAGTACACCAATCATTCAAGATATCTAACATTTTTGCAAATTAATTTCATTCTCTGCAACCAAAACAATATCGTCAGCGTACAACAAAATGCTGAGATTCAAATACTCAATGTCTATTCCCAGGTTAGCTCTCTTGACTTCTTGGGCCAAATCATTAACGTAAATTGCAAATAGAGTGGGAGAGAGAATATCTCCTTGTTTCACACCAAATGGAGTAGAAAACCAATCCGTCCTCAAATCGTTCACCTGCACACAGGCAGCTGGTTGCTTATACAGAGCTTTAATGGATTTAAAGAAATCGCCATCAATACCATACTTAAGGAGCTTATATTCCAAAAGGTCTCTGTTTATCCAATCAAAAGCTTTTTTGACACAAGGAATGATTTGATCAGTTGTTTGTCTGTCTCCATTCACATTGCCATGAGCCGTGCTAATGTTGATTGAATGTTTTGAATGAATGTTTTTTTTTTTTTTGGACATTTGAGGTGAGAAAAACAAAATAAAAGCAATTTAAATAAGCATAGATTATGCAAAATAAATAAGCAATTGATGACCAAAATAGGAGTGGGAATAATGGATGTTGGAACGTATTTCTTCAGCGTATCAACATCAGGGTTTCCTCCAGAGGACATACCCTTCAATTTTATTTATTCCCTATTTTTTAGACAAACATGTATAAGTCCCACATCTATGGAAGCCCGTTTCCGCCATGTAAAAAAAAAAGAAGAAGCCTACAGAAAGTCAAAATTACGACTTTAAAAGTCAAAATTACGAGTTTTCAACTGCGCATGTGCAGTTGAAAACTTGTATGTATTGTTGTCTGGAACGGTCTCTGGTCATCCCTATTATAGATCCATGGGTCATTCTCTACCTGCAGATTATGTGAAGATATTTCCTACAGACAGTGACCACATCCATGAAGTAGCAGCAATAATGTTGGGGCAGTGATCCCGTTAAAATGCAAACGGTCTCTCCGTTTATGATTAGAATCCGCTTCAGAAGCCTCTATTTAATTTATCCTGAACGGACTGTGGAAGATTAATAATAAAACACATGCGGCTGAAGTGACCACTCATTCATTGAGCATCAACTGGTAACATCTGGTCAGTATCACGGCTATCGATGGATGCACCAGAAATGCAGTGAATAATATTGTGACTGACAGAGAGATCGTTCGCGTTAACTGGACAGAGAGGGAGGTCCGCAGACAGAGGCAGGTGAACCACAGACACGGGCACTGACAATATTAAACCTTTAGGAATTGCGATCAGTGCATTGAAAAGTATGTGACGTGAGTGTGTGCGTGCACACGGCCAAAACGTGAGCGCGCTCTGGAGTGAGCTGATGGAGCGAGCGTGAGGGTAAAGTTGTTGGAACCTAGAGACATACTGTATAGGGAATAAGTTCCTTGCCTGATTATTTTATTGTGACAAAATAAAGCCCATGACTCTTTTGGCAACAATCCGGAGACATAACTCTGCAGATAACAGAGAGGGTCATTGAAAAGGGAGTTAAACCCATTATAGATGCATGAATAAAACCCCGTACTCAACACGTAGAAAGCGCATCATTTCAGCCGTGGAAATACTCGCTCCGTGTGGACCCCTCTCAGCGCCATCGTCTGGTCAGAGTGGTCTATAGCAGATTGGATTGGAATGTCTCGATGGCTCATTTTCCTTTGATTGATTATAAAAACATATTGCTCACATTATTTGTTGCTATGTTGAAATAAGAAGTCGTTTGATTTAAATGTTGTATATATGTAAATTGAATTTAAATAAATAAAAAGACAGCTACCCCCTGCGTCCTACGACCGCGGTCCGGGGCTTAAACAGGAAAGTTTAAGCAACATTATTTCTGGCTACTTCATGCATGCAGTGGTCACTGTTGGCAATATCTTCACATAATCTGCAGGTGAATGATCTCCAGAGACTGTTCCAGACAACAACACATACAACTGCGCATGTGCAGTTGAAAACTCAACATTTTGACTTTTAAAGTCGAAATGTTGACTTTCTGTATGCTTTTTTTTTTTTTACATGGCGGAAACGGACTTCCATACACATCAAATAGAGACTAACATTATTTTAATTGGGGTACATGTGGTCTAAAAATTTTTTAGCAGATTATAGCTTTTTGTAAAAAAAATAATTTGATTACTGTCTTTTACTTGATTTTGAGCAATCTGTCATAAAATATAATTTTATGCTAGTGGACACTATCCAGACTAGAACCCAGGACGCTGGAACATCAACTCTGTGGCTTAACCATTAGGCCACCATAAGTTGAAACAGGGTCTATCAACCAAGTTTTGCATCACACAAAAACGTATCCGCTGTTAATTTTTCAAAGGCATCCCGATATAAATCCTCATTTTAGTCTTTGTTTTGTCATTAATGAGATGAAAGTCATAACAAGACCTTTTTTAGTTCTGCGGCCACATGTTATTATACCACTGAGATTAGCCGCGAGAAGTTCTGGCAACACGGATCACTCACTTCCTGATTGGCGAAACGGCGGAGGGTAGGACATCTAAATCAAAACAATAACAACTTTTACGGGTCGTAAAACTAATTTTGATAATCAAATATCTCGGCTGAACTACTGTTATCAGTTAAAGATGTTTTCGAAAAGAGCATGATTTAATAATGCCTTTTGAAATATTGGGGCCATTTAATGATGACTTGACATGCAAATATTACATACTGCTACTTTAAAAGACAGCGGTGGTTGTGTGATTACATTTTAAAATCACATATGCAGCTAAATGGCGAGTTGGCGCAGTACGACAGACGTACCACTTCAGGTACGACATGTTCTCAGGAGTTCTCACTGAGGAGGGAATGACTCCCAGCTTCAGAGCACCACCGGGGACCACACACACCCGGCCTACACTGAAGCGCCACCCAGCTGTGTGTTGAAAGCGCCTACAGAGCCATCAGCTACCTAAACAACATGTCTAATGAGGACCAAGCTTCACAACTATAATATCTACATGTTTTTGATTACTATACCTGCTACGCTAAATACCGACACACACACACGCACGCACACACACACACACACACACCAAGCGACCAGCACCCAGAAGTACACACGGAGTGGGACAAAGTTAGCAATTTGCAGGGTTTTATAGTGTGGCGTCTGGCGCCCCCAGCTGGTGGGCGGATAAACTGTCCACACTACTACATTTAGGCCTGCTTCATCAGATTTATTGGCCCGAGCCACAATTGTGG